CAGCGTGCCAAAGCTCCCCCAGCCCCAGCTCCGACGTCGCCATCGGCGTGAGGGCGAGGCTGTGGCCACTTCAACCGAGACGCTCACGGCGCGCTCGTCACCCAGCGTCGACGGGAGGCGGGTCGGTGTGTTGAGCCGCGTCACGCCCTCGCCGTGGCGAGGCAGCCCGGGGATTGGGTTGTAGTCCGGCGCCGAGCCGCACGACGAGAGCCGCCCCTCGCCGTCAATGAAGAGGCTGTAGTAGCAGCCTGCCGCCGCCGTCGCCGGCGGGTTGGACTCGCGAAGCAGCGCAGAATAGCACAGCCACCGCACGGCGCAGGTCTCGCCCTCGGGCTGCACTGGCAGCTCGAAGCCGCGCTCTTGCGCCCACAAGCGGATGCCCTCCACCGCAAGCGAGGCGTGAAAGAGATGGGAGACGGCCGCGACGCGAGCGATGTCGACGGGGCTGTCGCAGCGAGAGAGGACGCGCTCGAGGAGCTCCCTGGGGAGGTCGAGGAGGCGGGTCGGCGGCGGCGAGGCGGGCGAGCGAGCGGCGGCGGCAGTGGAGGCGAGGCGGCGCGAGGGGCGGCGCGGCGGGGTGGACATCGCGAAAAAAAGAAAGCAAAAACTCGAATCGAATTCTTGTGACAGCGGCGTGAGCAGTGCCGTGCAGTGCGTGTGCTATGTGGGGCAAGAATAGCGCCAACGTCACGGACACGACCGCCATATCGGTGCACGGCACGAACACGCAGAACCTGGTCGGCGATCCCTGAGGGAGGGTGTAGATAGAGGATGTAGAGTGTAGAGCGCTGTAGAGCTGTAGAGCTGTAGAGCGCTCTGGAGCGCTGTAGAGCTGTAGAGCTCTACATCCGCCGCGGGACGAAGCGCCTCCGTTGTAGAGCGATGTAGAGCGCGATTTTGCTGTAGAGTTTGTTGTAGAGGCTCTACAGCCAAACCGCCGGGAAGGCAGTGACTCAAAGAGGTCGAGCCGCGCTAATGGGGGGTCTCCGAGCTTACTGGAGCTCTGATGGACAGCCCTGACTATCCCTGACACACAGAGAGTCACTCCGACGGCACACAACACCCTATAACTGCGTCATGACCAGCCTGCCAGGTGTCGCCGGTGCCGCATTCGTCGCTGTGCTTCTTTAGCAGGCGGTGGACTGTCGGCTGCGAGGACGGTCGCATTTGCGCGAGGCGAGGAGAGAGCATTGTTGAGCGTTGCATGCGCCATGCCTCGCGCCAGCGCGTGCGGGAGCTCCTGGCTGAGCGTTGAGTCCAGGCAAGTTGCGCTGGCCACTATCACTACGCCGAGCCGAGCTGACGCGTCGAGGCGCCGGCCAGTCGCAGCCGTGAGGCATGCCATAGCAGCAGAGGCACCTGCCACCCATTGGGCGGGCAGACAGAAGGCCAGGGCAGCACTGGCAAGTGCAACGCGCCTCATGTCGGAGAGCGACCGTGCCTCGTTCGCCGCTTATGATGTAGAGTTTGTTGTAGAGATTTCACGTTGTAGAGCGCCTCTACATCGCTCTACAACGCAGGCAGTTCGTCACGCGGCGGATGTAGAGCTCTACAGCTCTACATCGCTCTACAGCGCTCTCCAGCGCTCTACATCTCTACAGCTCTACAGCGCTCTACACTCTACATCCTCTACACCCTCCCTCAGGGCGATCCATTCCCTCCACACCTCCGGGTATTCCTCCGTTCGGATGCATCGCATCGTCGCTTCCCAGCATGCTCGTTGCAGCCACTCTGGCGCACGCAGCAGTAGGTATGCGTTGAAGCCGTCCTTCCCCGTTCCCTTCTTGGCCTTGTACTTTGCGAGGGCTCGTTTGAAGTTCTCCCACGAGCATACTCTCCCCACCACGTTCGTCGTGTCGTCTCGTTCGTCTTCGTCCGTCCCACTCTGTGCGCCATTGTTGTCGCCGCCGCTGCCATCGCTGTTCTGCGGTAGTAATTCTTTTATTAGCGTCGCCATGACCCTCGTCGCTACTGGGACGGCCCTGAGCGTCCGCTCTCCGTGTCTGGCCGCTGCCGCCCTCACTGCCGCGGGCTCCTCGTGCGTTATGTCCGGTCCTTGTTGTGGCGGGGGCGCCTTCTCTATGATTCTCGTTATCTTCGCCGTTCGTGCGGTTCTGCGTCCCCTCGCTCGGTTTAGTATCCGGAATACGTCTCTCGCGGTATCAGTCCTCTTGCTTTGTGTCGTCGTTATTACAATATTAGTCGCTCCAGCTCATGTACCGCCGCTCTCCCACCGCTCTCTCCGTCGAGTCCATCTTCTCAAGTCCCAAGTCGTTTGACGTTTGCTCATTTTTTGCAGATGGTGTCGGAGAAGTTTACATTACCTTACCTTCTAGTCGCTGTCGCGGTGTCGGCTCGGCACGAGAAATCCGCAACCAACAACAGGGGAGGTCTGGCTCGATCACTAAGCCGAGCTGACAAGGTCTAGTTCACAGGCTGATCAAAACAGCCGCCGTCGTCCGAGTCCGAATCCTTTGCGTCCGCCTCCGCCTGCGACGCGTCCGCCCGACTCTCCTCCTCCTCCTCCCGCTTCACCACCGCGTCGGGACGCGCGCGCGCGTACGCTAGCGCCGCCTCGACTGGCGTGCCAAAGTGACCAAGGTGCGTCCGCTTGGAGCCGACCTACGGGAAAGGTCCGGGAAAGGTCCAGGAGAAGCCTAGGGAGAGCAGGCGGCCCGCGGACACAACGACCTGGTACGACGCGACGAAGGGGAGCTTGCGGCTCTCTGACGAGACGGCCACGCCGCGGTAGCCCTATGGGACGTGCCAGGGACGTGTCGGGGACGTGTCGGGGACGTGTCGGGGACGTGGCAGGGACGTGTACCCCCTCCGCACGACTCGGGTGAGGGGCGGAGGCGGGGCTAGGGTGTGGGGCGGAGGCGCGGCTAGGGCCAGTGCTAGGGCGAGGCTGACGAGGCCAGTGAGGGGGGAGCGGGGGGTTTGGGGGGAGGGGGGGTTGCTGAGGCTGCTGCAGTGGCGCATCTGCCATGGGGGTGGTGTGTGTGTGTGGTGGTGGTGGTGGGGTGGGGTGGGGGGGGGGGTTCGCACCGTCCGCGCCGTCGCACTCAGCTGCAAAGTCACGCCCTCTGCCTCAGCGACGCGCGGGGCCTGAGGTACGGTCATGTGAGGCCAGGTGCACTTCTCCGCACACACTTCTCCGCACAAGGTGGTGGGGCAAGGGCCAGGCTAGTCCCTCGCGGCTACACGTCTAGAAGACAGGAGCCCGACGGCATTGAAAGATAGTGGGAGAAAACGTGCGTGCGTGCGTGCGTGCGTGCGTGCGTGCGTGCGTGCGTGCGTGCCTGTGCCTGTGCGTGTGTGTGTGTGTGTGTGTGTGTGTGTGTGTGTGTGTGTGTGTGTGTGTGTGTGTGTGTGTGTGTGTGTGTGTGTGTGTGTGTGTGTGTGTGTGTGTGTGTGTGTGTGTGTGTGTGTGTGTGTGTGTGCCTGTGTGTGCCTGTGTGTGTGTGTGTGTGTGTGTGTGTGTGTGTGTGTGCCTGTGTGTGTGTGTGCGTGTGTGTTGTGTGTTGTGTGTTGTGTTGTGTGTCGCGGGGCCTTGAGCAGCGACTCAACGGCGGCCCACGCGCCTACGACGAGCGCACCACCGGCGATCACCACCGGCGACCAGAGGCGGGAGTGGCGCACGCAGAACTGCGCGCGCGCCGCCCGAGCAGTGTCGTGCTGTGCACAGCTTCCGCTTCCGTCGCGGAACGCCACCCGCCCCTCCGCCGCCGCCGCCATCCTCGCCCTCGCCGCCACCCTCGCCCTCGCCGCCGCCCTCGCCGCCGCCCTCGCCGCCTCCCTCGACCTCGCCGCCGCCGTCATCGCCGTCGCCGCCGCCGCCGTTGTCACGGCCGTCGTCATCGCCCTCGCCGCCGCCCTCGCCGCCGCCGCCGCCGCTCGCCGCGCCGCTAGGTCGCAGCTCCGTGTCCTGCCCCCCCTCCCCCTCTGTTGCGGCGCCGCGGCCCTCGGCGCGCGCGGCGTCGCCCGAGCTCTGCCCGCGAACGCTCTCTTCCCCACCACCCTGTCCGCGCATGGGCGTGGCCGCAGGGCCGAGCGCCGCGTCGACCTCGGGGCAGGAGTCGACCTCGCCGCCGCCGCCCGCAGCCCGCCTGCCGGGAAACAGCCGAGCTGCAGCCGACCTGCAGCCGAGGTTCAGCCGAGGTGCCGCCGAAACATAGCCGAGGTCCAGCCAAGGTGCAGCCGAAGTGCAGCCGAAATGCAGCCGAGGTGCAGCCGAGGTGCAGCCGAGGTGCAGCCGAGGTGCGGCCGAAGTGCAGCCGAGGTGCAGCCGAAGTGCAGCTGAGGTCCAGCCAAGGTGCAGCCAAGGTGCAGCCGAGGTGCAGTCGAGGTGCAGCCGAGGTGCAGCCGAGATACGGCCGAGATACGGCCGACGGCAAGGCAGCTGCGCGCTAGCACCATCTCTCGACTCGAGGCTTCCCTCCGTCGCCTCTCGTCTTGAGGCATCTCTGCGGCGCCGTCTGGACAGCGGCGCGGCGAGGCAGCTCCGAGATGGCAGCCGAGCATGCCTGCCCCGCCGCAATCCGCAAGCGTTGCACAGCGGCTCCTCTGCTCCGTCCTCCCACCGCCACTTCGGCGTCCGCGTCGCGCCGCAAGCGACGCAGCGGCAGCGCCCCTCCTCCTCCCGCGCCGCGCGATCGTTGAAGACGCAACCGGCGCACGTGCCGCAATCCTCCAGCAGCAGGCAGCCCTCGCAGCTGCCGCAGCTCCACGGCCGCTGCCTCGTGCGCTTCTTCTTCCGCGACGGCGCCACCGACCCGTCGGCAAACACAGCACCCGCGTCCCCGCCTGTGGGCGCGCCTGTGGGGCAAGTTCCAAGAAGGTTCCGAGAAAGTTCCGACAAGGTTCCGGCAAGGTTTGCGGCGGCCCCGTCGCCTTCGCTCCCGCCTTCGGCCGCCGCGGCGTCGCTTCGCGGTGTGTGCCCCTCCTACGTGCATTATACGCCAGCCTCGGGGCGGGAGGACGGTATCGTGCGGTGTGTTCAGAGCACCGCGTGAATAGGAGGGTTACGAGCACAGTGAGTACATCACTGCCTTCTGACTGCCGTCGCTAGCTCTCCCATCTCGACTGTCCGTGCGTGTGCGTCTTTGGCCCGCGGCTGCGTCTTTGCGTGAGCACAGCGGAGTGCGGCCGCATGCAGCTGAATACGTGTCCTCAGCTTCTAGGGTGGGGTGGGGGGGGGGTCGAAGTAATGGACCCCAAATCCTCAGCTTCTAGGGTGCTTCCAGCTGGGGTGCTTCTAGGGTTCCTCTCCTTGGCCGCCTCGCGCGCGTACGCCACCGCCGCCTCCGCCGCAGTGGCGTACGAGCCTGTGGACATGTCTCGGACATGTCGAGGACGTGTCGCGGACGTGACCTCCGCCGCTGTGGCGTGGGTGCCGAGGTGGCGTATGCCCGACTGGGAGATGCCTATGGAAGAGAGGGGGAGATGTGGGGGAGATACGGGGGAGATATGGGGAGATGTACCCGACTGGGAGATGCCTATGGAGCAGGCGGCGACACGAAGGTGGACGATGGCTAATAAAGAGGTGCCCCCCCCACCACTGGGGGAGATGCCCGCGAGCTGCAGCTGCGCAGAGAAGGGGCGGGGGCCGAGCTGCCGGCCCCTCGGCACATTGACCCGCACGCCCAAGTAGCCCGTCTCGGACCTGTTCACGGCCCGGCGTGTGAAGAGCGGGCCGGCTCGCGACAGCCGGCCCACAGCAGCGCCGTCTCGGACCGGCCGCTAAGGTGTAGCTTCAGCCCCTCCGCCTCCTCCACCACCGGGGTCTGCAGCAGCGCCCGCCGCGCCTCCGCCCTCGCCGCCGCCGCCTCCGCCTCCGCCTTCGCCGCCTCCGCCGCCGCCGCCGCCTCCGCCTCCTTCGCCTCCGCCTCCTCTCCCCCCTCCCTGTGGGCCGCCGCCTCCGTCGCCGCCCGCCCTCGGCGCGCCTGCTCGAGCTCTGGGTGAGGTGGGGTGGACAGAGTGCGGCGGGGGGGCGCTCTTCTTCCGTTTCTGCGGGAGGTGGAGCTGTGGGAGGTGGGACTGCGGGAGGTGGGACTGCGGGAGATGGGGTGGAGAGAGTGCCTGCTCGAGCGCCCGCGCGTACGCCACCGCCGCCTCCATCTTGGTGGCAAACTGGCCGATGTGCTGGAAACCCCTCCGCTTCCCGCCCCCGCCCCCGCCCCCGCCGCCCCCGCCGCCCCCGCCGCCCCCGCCGCCCTTGGCGGCGACGTTGAGCTGCAGCTGCGCCTTGAAGGGGCGCGACACGCTGCCCGGCCTACGTGTACCATACCCTCCAGAGTCTCGAATCCAGTGCGGTGGCCGGGCCTACGTGGAGGAGACGCCAACCTCGGGGCGGGAGGACGGCATTGTGCGGTGTGTTCAGAGCACCGCGTGGAGACGAGGGAGGCGAACACAGTGAATGCAGCGGCACACTAGAGAGAGGCGTGTCGTCTAAGCATTGTGCTTCTAGGAGGCCGGGCTTGATGTCGACGCCGCGGTAGCCCGTCCGGGAGCGCGAGCTGAGGTGCAGCGCCACCTACGGGTGTGCGTGGGCGTGTCGTCGACGTGTCGTCGACGTGTCCGCGCGGCGACAAGCTCATCGTCACCTAACCGGGGCGGGGTGTGCGGACGCGTGTCCTGGACGCGTCCACGACGTGTCTGCACGAAGAGGCGAGCGCGGCGGCCACCCCGTCCGGCGACACATCTCCCCATATCTCCGCATATCTCCCCATATCTCCCTCACCCCGTCCGGCGACACGGCCACCGCTGGCGCCTGCAGCTCTCGGAGCACGGCCGGCGGCAGCCTCTCGAGCCTACACACACAGGTAGGGGACCGGTGTCCAGGGGACGGTCCAGGCAGAGGCCACTGCCAGCGGCGGGCGAGTCTCGGGCCTACACAGAGGGGACCCGGTGTCCAGGGTCCGGTCTAGCCAGAGGCCACTACCGGCGGCGGGCGTGTCTCGGGCCGGAGCAGCGACTGCAGCGACTTGCTCTGCCGCCCCGGGACGCTCGCCGACGTCTCTTCCGAGCCCTCGCCGGCAGCGCCCTCGCCGCGAGCGCCACCGCCGGCAGCGCCCTCGCCGCGAGCGCCCTCGCCGCCAGCGCCCTCGCCGCCCTGCACCCCGCCCCCTCCCTCGGCGTCGGCGGCGGTGGTTTGGGCGGCGGCGGTGGTTTGGGCGGCCGTGGCGGAGTCGTCGATCAAAGCGGCGGGAGGAGCGTCTGGAGAAGCGAGAAGGGCGGCCGGATTGGCGGCGGGAACAGCGGCCGCAGCCGCCGCGAAGCATGTGGCGGGAGTCGAGGCTGCGGCAGCAGATGCGGCAGGCGAGGAGGTCGAGCGGTGTCCGCCGGAGGCTTCAAGTGTGCTGTGTGCCTGCGCGCTCGCCCACCGCTCGGCGTGTCGCAGCCACCGGGACAGCTTTGCGCTCAGCTCGGCGAACGTGGTGCCAGACCCGGCCAGCACGGCTGAGTCAGTCTCAGAGAGTCGGGCAAGCGAATCGCGCACGAGGCTCAGAGCGACTCTGCCCTCGCCGTCGCGGTACGGAAAGAGGCGCTGCTCGCGCAGGAGGAAGCGCGACGCCGTGAGGGCGCCGACGTCGATGGTGGAGAGAGGGGCGTCGCTGTAGCTCGCCGCCATTTTTGGCGGTTGTATGCGCGCGGGTAAGGGCGGGGTTGAGGCCGGGCGGGGGGGGGGGGGCGTCAGGAGCGCGTGTGTGTGTGTGCTCCACCCATACCGCGTTGGGGTCCCAGTCGTTGGTCGGACTGTGTTTCGCCTTCCTAGCAATGTGTGTCGTATCAAGAATACTCACTCCCTGAACGAACCGGCGGTGGAGCACGAGTTTCACTGCGAGCATTTATTGGCGGTTGTCGGTTCCGCCCGGTGTAAGTGGGGCGGGTTTGGTGGTGCGGGGTCCCCCGCTGTCGCCCGGGGTCGTGCGAGGGGTGGGCACGACCAGTAACCTCCCCCGGGGTGGGTGTGGTTTGGGCTAGTCTATACTCGAGTAAGTATCCGAGGTTTTCCTCTCGCACCCCGTCGGTTTTCCTTTCCTTTTTTCTCAACAACACCCTCTGTTTTCCCTGGAAATTTCCGGAAACGCAAAGTGCTGGGGACCCTCTGTTTTCCTTTTTGTTTGCCGGAAACCCTCGGACAGGCCAAGGTGTGGTCGGCACGAGCCCTGAGCCCTGGCCTCGACACCTCGACACCAAACCTCGACACCGACTCGACACCTCGACAACCCATGCCAACTCGACAAACTCGACACCCCTCGACACCCCTCGACACCCCTCGACACCCCTCGACACCATCTAGGCTGAAACCATGCTCGTCCGTGTCAAGGTGCCAAACTCGACACCTCGACACCCCTCGACACCCCTCGACACCCCTCGACACCGCTCGACACCGCTCGACACACACCGCTCGACACCGCTCGACACCGCTCGACACCTCTGATGATCCTAACACAGCAGAGACGTAGACCCATTGGAGTCACAGAGTTAGAAATCAGGGTTGCAGCAGCAATCAAACTTGGCTGGCAGTACTTTCATCCTGAGTTGCAGCCTCTCAAGTTCTAGCTCAAGTTGCAGCTCAGTTGCACCCTTTTAGGTTACTGGGAGAAAAGAGTTGTATGTTGATGGGCTGCAACTGCATCCACCTGCCACCTTGGACACCTCGATACCTCAGACGCCTCTTGACAACACTCGACACCCGCTCGACACCCGCTCGACACAAACAACACCTGGCAACCCTGTCTGCACGTCTCGCGCGCGCGTGAACAGGGCTCCAGGCCCCAAATTACGTGTGAGTGTTAGAGTTGTTTGGTATTGCTAAAAATCTCTCTCTCTCTCGACACCCTCGACACCCTCGACACCCTCGACACCCTCGACACCCCTCGACACCCCTCGACACTCCTCGACACGGACAAGCATGGTTTCAGCCTCGACAGGCCTCGACAGGCCTCGACAGGCCTCGACAGGCCTCGACACCTCTATCCCTCGACAGCAGCTCGACACCCTCGACACCGGGCCTCGACACCTCGACACCAGGGCTCAGCACGAGCCGGGGTCGTCCTCCCGATGGGCGGGACTAGCACACCAGCCGTCTTCCACATTGTCCCTCGGGTCCCCCCGGTGCTCCTAATCCTCTTTCGTACGTCCCAGTATGGAATGGACTATGGTCTATGCGGCAAAGCGCCTCGTTACATTTTTTGGCGGGGTTTGCACGCAAACTTTTTGCAACTAGTCTCCCGCGTTTCCACATAAGAGTATCATAATATTCAACTGTAATTCCAACTCGTCGGTGTACGGTGTTGTGTGCGAGCCCGAAACACCCGTCTACATCAAGACAGCTACGGGATAGGCCCGCGCCGTCGTCAGCGGCGCCACCGCCTCCCAAGTGTTCGCTGACGGGTCGTACCGCTCCACCGAGGTGAGGTCGTCGTCGTTGTAGCCGCCCACAGCGTATAGCTTGCCGTCGAGCACCGCCATGGCGGGAGTAGACCGCTCGACCGCCATCGGCGCCATCGCCTCCCACGCATCCAAGGCAGGGTCGTACCGCTCCACCGAGCTGAGGAAGCCGTCGTAGTTGCGGCCTCCCACCGCATACAGCTTGCCGTCGAGCACCGCGACGGCGAGATCGTCCCGAGCCGCCATCATCGGCGCCACCTCCTCCCACGCGTTCGCTGTCGGATCGTACCGCTCGACCGAGCTGAGGCGGCCGACGCCGCCGCTGTACCCGCCCACAGCATACAGCTTGCCATCGAGCACCGCCACGGCGTGTTCCTGCCGCGCTGTCGCCATCGGCGCCACCGCCTCCCACACGTTCGTCACGGGATCATACCGCTCCGCCGAGCTGAGGCGGTCGTCGTCGTCGGTGTAGCCTCCCACAGCGTACAGCTTGCCGTCTAGCACCACCACGGCGTGAATAAACCGCGCCTCCGCCATTGGCGCCACCTCCTCCCACGCTTTCGTGGCAAAGTCGTACCGCTCCACCAGGTTGGAAGTTGCGTCGTCCATGTCCAGGCCGCCCACCGCGTAGAGCTTGCCCTCAAGCACCGTCATGCCGACATTCGCGCGTTCCGTTGGCATCGGCGCCACAGCCTCCTCCTCCGACTCATTCGTTGACGGGTCGTACCGCTCCATCGAGTTGACAGTCCTACCCTCGCTGTCTTGGCCGCCGAACACGAGCATGCGCGGCCTCTCGCGCTTCTTCAGCGTCTCCTTCCAGCCGCGGCGCCACGCGCGGCACGTCCCCTTGACGGCGTGCGCCGTGGTCGGCAGCTGGGCGAGGATGTGCGGGGCGAGGTCCGGCGAGAGGAGGACCTCGGAGAGCACCCACTCGGGCTGCTCCACGAGCCGTGCGGCGTGCTCCTCCGCCACGCGCATTGCGGCGGCGCTCCAGAGGGGCGCCTGCTCGTCGATGAAGGCGACGAGCTGCTCAGGCGAGAGGCCAGACAGGCGGGCGCCGATGCGGTGGGAGGCCATCGGTGTGTGGGGCGGGCAAGCCTCAGCACGCTTTCTTTTTCAGTCTCTCTCTCAGTACATACAGTATAAAAGTCCATGTGTTTGTCGGGCAATGGCGCGGGCCCCACGTATTTTCGGAGGACTTGCTCCAGGCAGGGCTCTTGCGCCGGCGGGAATTCGCTTTCTTTTTCAGTCTCTCTCCGTCAGTGATTTAGCTCTTACATTCCCGGAGGAGGAAAGAAAGAAAGAAAGAAAACAGACAACCCAAGGGAGGGATGGGAGGACGGCACGCCGCCACCACACAGGGATTTTAAGGAGAGGAGTGTGGTGCTAGCCGTCGCCCACCCTAACCCGCGCCCTTTTCTTTCTGCCGAGCGTTTTCTTCAAATCAAGCTGCCACCACCATGGCGCGGGCAAGCGCAGCCCGTATTTCTTTTCCGAAGATTTCTTTCGGAGCGTCAGGGTTCCTGACTCTAATGTTTTCTTTTTTTGAGCGCCTAGCGCTCCGCCCGGGTGTCTTTCTTCCTCCGTAAAAACACCGCGCAAAAAAATTCTTTTGCCCGAGTGCGAGTCTGACAGGTAGCGCGTTTTGGGACGTGACCCACATGAGTAGTATTCATGGATTTGAACATAAGTACAGGTACTCACGCATGCGCCAGACGTACTCGTGAGTATGAATACTCACTGCGGTGGTACTCATGAGTTGTGTACTCACGTCTCACGATGCACGTGTATTATGAGTACTGCTGCTGTTACGTCTTCGGTCCCCGCGGGAAGCCCCGCGCATAGGACAACAACGGCAACGCGGCGCCCGCCCGCCGCCTCTGAGCACTGAGGGGGTCGGCCCCCCTAGTCTGAAAACAAAAACAAGCTCGAAAACAGCCAAAACCAGCCTGCGAGAGAGGCACTGCGCGCCGCTGACCTCATATGTGGGGATGTGTGCCGACACCAATACTGATCTAAAACCTGGAAACCCTTGTTCAAAGCCGACCCTAAGCGCCATCCTTCCTGCTCTCACCTGATGCTGCTTCCCCGCGCCGCCTCCAGCGTCCAGGCCTCCTTCCTTGGCGCCCTTGCACGTATTTTCTACTCCCAGTGGGGGGGGCGGCCCCCCGGGCCCCCTGTTGTTTTCTGTTTTCTGTTTTTCAAAACGCCCGCCCGCCCGCGCCACCCCGAGGCGGCTCGGCCCCCCACAGACCGAGAGATCACAATTACGGGACACGGCCCTAGCGTCTCTCTAAATAAATAAATAAAAACGGACACCTCTCTACTGTGAGATGGGTAAAAAGGAACAGGCCCCCGCCCTTTGCGATCTTTGTGCAGGGTTCTTTGTGGGTGTGGTCGTCTACTCTATATACGGCTTTACGACGAGGCGGTATATACGGCGCGCGCCCACTCGCTTGCTTTTTTTTCGCTCCAGTCCTGCGGATCTTCATAGTAGACCGGAGGGCTACGAAGCCTTTCACACTCCAAGGGGCTGGCGCGCGCCTAACCGCTACGACCTACTGGGCTGGGTTTTTAGGCATTGTGGGGTTGGCTCTCCCATCGACCCTCATGACCTCCACTGCGGTCTCTGAGATGGACACCAGTGGGTGTGGGACCACAGCCAGGATACACTCGAAGGCTGGGTAAGCAGTAGAGGTCGATACTCGGCGCGTCCCACATGGTCTGTGTCGCTGTCGGCACGCTGTCGACAGGACGTCGAGCGACACCGGTGGCAGTGCCACCCAGGAGTGGTCGGGCGGTCTCCTGTCATGAGAGAGCCACCATGTGATCCGTATGATGATTCCTGACAACCGCCTCAGTCAACTTTCGTCACAGTTCCCGCTCTGAGAGGAGCTGCGGGTCAGCTCGACAGCTGGAGCTGTGTCGCCGGCGTGCGGCGGCCTGCCTCCGGAGGTGCCTCTGAGGTGGACATTTTTTGGTCACCGTGAGAGAACGCGTTTGAATTTTCACTCCGGAACTTCAACTCCGCACGCGCACCGGCCAGGGCTACAATAGTGCCAGTGAGGCGAAGGCGCGAGTCGGAAGGCCGCGACCGTGATTTGGTCCCTCAATTTACCTACAATCGCTGTGAACCCAGCCACGTACGTAACGGCACAGCTGAAAGGATCTAGGAGAAGGATTTCGTTTCCAGAGCGGATTCTAGCGACTTCTTGCCGAGAGTCTCCTGGGATCGATCTCACAAGCGTCTTCTTGAGCGCAGCCCCCCCAAAACTGGTAGAAAAGGGCGGGCTGACCACGCACATACACGCGCAGCGAAGGAGAGCGAGCTGTTGCCTCGCTCGACGCTCGCTCGCCCTAGAGGCCGAGCCAAGCCGCCAGCTGCCTCCGGACCGCCTTGCGCGCTGCAACCACCGACGGCTGGTCGGTGGGCAGCGACGGGTGCGTCCAAGCGTGGTGGGAGGCGCCCGAGACGAGCAGCGCGGGCAGCTCCGGCGAGAGGGGCGCGAGGATGGAAAGGCCGTGCCACGGGTCCACGTCGCCTAACGCGCAGCGGTGCCACATCAAGAGAGGAGAAGAAACCCTCGCGACCACGCGACACGTCGCCGTCGCCGTTGGCGTACAGGATCCGCGTCGCGTTGTGCGGCGGCAGGTCGGGCCGGCTGCCGCCGTAAAAGGCGTTCGTCTCGGCGATGCGCCGCGCGATCTGCGGCTGCGAGATGGCGTACTCGGCGCAAAACGCGTCCTGCGTCGGCAGGAGGTCGAGGCCCTGCGTGAAGAAGCAGCGCGAGCCCTTCTCGCACGTCTGGTAAAAACCGAACTCGCTGCACGTCTGGTAGCCTACTCACAGCTCTTCTGTTCACACCTCTCCTGTTCACAGCCGAACTCGCTGCACGTCTGGCAGCCCCAGTAGTCGAGAGACTCGTGCAAGCTGCGCTCCGGCGTCTCCGCCGCCTCCGCCGCCGCCGCATCGTCAACAGACAAGCACCCGTTTGCCTTCGCGCACTGATACGCGGCGACCTCGGCGCCGTCGGGCAAGCCTTATGCACCGACACCAGAAGAGTAACACGCTGTGGCCCAATGACCATCACAGTCTCCCGCGCCGTCGGGCAAACCCCCGGCCGCGACGCAGCTCCTGACGCAAGGCTCGTCACCGCCGCACTTGAAGGCGCAAGCGAGGACGGAAGCGCACTGTGCGTCCTTCTCGCAGCGCGCCACCTGGCCCGCGCAAACCCGGAGGGGTGAAGGGACTGGTAGGGGGGAGGAGGCAATCCTCGGGCAGCAGCGCGACCTGGCCCGCGCACTTTTCCTTGACGCACTGCTCCGGATCCACCACGGGAGCGACCGCAATCGCCTCCGCCGCCTCCGCCGCCGCCTCCGCCTCCGCCTCCGCCGCCGCCGCCTCCGCCGCCCGCCGCCGCTGCGCCCGCGCCTCTCCGCCTTGGGCGGCCTCGCCCGCCGCCTCGGGCGCCGCCTCCTCCTCCTCTGCGGCGGAGTAGAAGCCGTTTGCGAGGCCCGCGAGGCGCTCGAGGGAGGAGCGGTTCTCGCCGCTCGTGACGACGTCACAGACCCTTCCGATGGAGCAGCCGTAAGAAAGACACGCCTGCGGACCGGCGATGCACCAACAGAGTCACACCGGCAAACGGGGAGGAGGAGAATGGTGCTACTCCTAAGCAGCCGCGCCGGGTCGTTGGACTGGGCGGGGAAGGGGGCGACGCCACCGCCGGAGAAGCGGAGTTGGTTCGCCTCGCTCTCGAGCCTGGAGTGGCGAGGAGTGGGCGGTGAGTCCGTCCACGGGTGAGAGCGGCGCTGGCCCTGGCTCGCTCTCGAGCCAGGAGGGCTGCCGGCCGCGCAGCTCCGAGAAGAGGGCGACGAGGGAGGCGCGCCTTGCAGTGTGAGGTCAGGCGCGGTAAGGCTTGCAGTGTAAGTCAACCTTGCAGTGTCGCCAGTCTCGTCACCACCAGGGCCACCGCCACCACCAAGCGAGTGAGTCGGCTGCTGCTACGACGAGGCTACTGCTACGACGAGGCGCGCCCGGAGGCGGAGGAGAAGCGCCGCCCGACCTCGGCGTGGCCTCGTGCGATCGCAGCCTTGCAGGCGGGGGAGCCTGCGCCGGGAGCTATTCATGTTATGTTAGGGTTAGGGTTAGGGTTAGGGTTAGGGTTAGCCTGCGCCGGGAGCTATTCATGTTATGTTGTACTCCTTATGTCGCATGACCAGGAGCTGTTTATGTTATTAGAATTGTTACGTGGAGCCTGCCAGGAGCGCGCCAGAGTGAGCGCAAGAGGCGGCGGGACAAGAGAGCGCAGCGCGGTTGGCAGGCAAGACACTGAGCTGTGATGTGCCTCATGTTGTGTTCCATTGTGTTACAGGCCGGGGGGGAAGGCCTCCGACGGACGGCAGCGCATACGCGTCTGCGACGAGGTCGTTGTACTCGGTCATGTCGAGCTTGGCCTGCAGCAGGATGTAGGGGCCCTGAGTCTTGTGTAGGGGCTCTTTTTTCTTGTTGCTGTTCTGCTGTGTAATCGGCTCATGTAGAGCCCGCGCCTGCACCGGCGCCGAGGAGGAAGCGGAGGCGAAGAAGAGGCGCGGGTACCTAGCAGCAACAGTCACAACCGTGATCAAAACCATCGTTGTTCCTGGTAGATGAGTAATGAAGAGGCGGCTGCTTGATCCGCGCAAACGAGGCGAGCATGCCGGGGTACGACCCCCCGAAAGTGACCCACTTGCTGGCGGCGCTGATCCCGAAAGCGGAGGTCGCGTGCCGCTGGAAGGTTGCGAGGTCGGCGAGCGCCTGCCGCGAAGAGAGCCAGCGCAGCGGCTTCTCGTCCGACGGCGAGTACGGGCAAGCGGACATATTGTGGCAGCCATAGTAGCGGTGCTCGACGGCGAACATCAGCGCCCGCGTCTCGGAAAGCCACTCCACAGCGTTGTTACAGTGGACGCTCGACACGACCACCGAGCCGTCGAGAGCAGGACCCTCTCCGCCCACGCAGAGGAAGACGGGCGCGCCGCTCCCGGGCGTCCAGAACGTGGCGTTGACGTAGTAGGCCTGCTGCCACTTCGTCGTATCGGTGATGTTGAAGTGGTCGCGGCGCGTCTCGAAGAAGAGCGGCTTCGGGAAGTGTGGCGAGTGGACCGGCGCCGCGCGCAGCGTGTGCGGTGGCGCGTCCGTCATCGTGCGCAGGATCGGCTTGTGGGCTTGGGCAGCGAGCATCAGCGGCGAGCGTCTGTGTCGACCGGGTGTAGGCCTGCGTGGGGACGAGATGTTTTGTTTTTCCGTGCCGGAGGCGAAGACCGCAAGTAGAGCTGGGGCGCTCCAGCCGCGGTGGCATTGTACGGCGCCGGCGCAGCGCGAGGGTGGGCAGCATCCTTCCGGGACGCGGCGCAGTCGCAGCGTGCAGATAGAGTCGGGAAGGAAGGTCGTGGCGATCGATCGCGTTTGTGTTGTCAAGAGTTGCGTCGGTCGAAACTCGGCGTTACGACTCCTTACTCCGATTAGGTCTGGAGCGTTTGCTGCCCCCCCTGCGCGTTGAACGGTCCTTGCTGTGACTGTTTGACATGGACAGCAACGGCAACCCCCACTCCGTCGCCGCGGCCCGGGTCCCCGCGGACGCGGGCGGACCGGGGACAAGGTGTGGGAAGACGAAGAGCAGAGAAACAAGGAATCAAGTCCAAGAAGGGAACTCAAACAAAGTATGTGAGAACACTTGTTTCTTTCGTGAGAGTGTTCCAGTCAAAGGAGCCTACGTAATGGACTCGGACCAGCCCAGCACCCGCTCAACCACCGGCCTCGCGATCTCGGCCATCCTCTGCTGGCCCTGCACGGACGGGTGGTTGCACCCGCCGACGTTCGCGTCGACCTGCGTGCGCGGACGTGTCACGGTTGTAGAATGAAGCTGGAGGTACGGCGACTGCGAGTGGAGAGGATGCGAAGCACAAGAGCGTCTCGACACGTGTGTGGGGGGGGGGGGGGGACGTGCGCCTCGTACAGGCGCTGAAAGTCGAGCGGGTGGATGCGGAGCGCGCGCTGCGCACCGAGAGCGGCGAGGGCGTCCCTGACGGAGGAGGAGGCACGGGCAGGTGACGAGGGCCAGAACGGCGACGCGGGTGCGACGAAGTGGCGTCGATGGAGGAGGGGGGGGTGAGGGCAGCGGTGGCAAGGGCTGGGGTGGCGAGGGTGGCGGCGGTGGCAGCGCGCCAGATGTCGGAGCAAGGGAAATACTCGCCGCGGTGGTCGCCGCGAGTGCCCATCGGGCCGCAGGCAGCAAACACGGGCGGCGGCTCGGCCGCGGTCACGGGGGCCGGGGAGACCTGAGGGTGACGGGCGAGGGGACGGCACGTAGTACCACTGTAGTACCACTGAGTTCAGAGGCCCGGTGCGCAAGGGCGAGCGGTGAGGGCGGTCCTTGGAGGCGGGCCGCCTCGAGTCCGCCTGTCGGGGACACGTCGTAGACGTGTCAGGGACGTGGCGTCGAGGGCGCCGAAGGCGGGTTGCGTGTGCAGCAGCCCCACCCCAGACTCTCCGCTGCATCCGGGCTACAGCCGTGCATCCCGGCCAACGTACCTCCGCCGTGAGGTTGAGAAGCAGCTCGACGTAGGCGGCCGCAAAGCTGGCGACGCTCATCTCGTGGCCTATGGACGTCGGCTTGCCAACCAGTCACGGCCGCGAGCCAGAGCGTGTGTGGAGGCGGACTCGCGTCGCGCGTGCCCGGCGTGAAGTCGTTTGTCCCGAGGTGGACCAGCAGAGCCGAGGGGCGCCACGAGGCGGGGAGGACGTCGCCCGCGCCGGGGACGCCGCCGAGGAGGGACCTGGGCGGGGAGGGGCGGTCACGGTGTGAGATCCCGTCTCGGTCTCCGGATATGGAGCGCCTGTCGCCTGGCCAGCAAGGGACCTCCCTGCCCCTCCTCCGACGGAGCAGCTGGCGATGGGTTTCGTCTCTCTGAGAGCACGACGGACCGCGCCAGCTCGTCGAATCTCGGCGCATCTCAGCTCAGGGCAGTTCTCGGCGAATCTGGCGCGTGTCTCAACAGCGTATCTCGGCGACGGTACCGCGCCATCTGCGGCATCGTGCGGTTCTGAGGCGAGTCTGCCGCGTCGTTGAGCAGGACGCCGATGCCGCTCCAGGCGACCGAGTGGAACTCGGCCTCGAGCCTGAGAGAGCAGAGGGGCGAGAGCACAAGGGCTGGAAACCCTCGAAATGGACGGCGGTGAGTGGGTCAGCGAGGGCGAGGGTGCAGCCTGCGCCCTGGCTGTCGGACTGGCGGGTGATCTTCAGACTGTCAGGCACTGTCAGACTCTGTCGGGTGCCTCTGTCAGACCAGCTGTCGGGTGCTGCCAGAGCTGTCGGGCACTGTCAGGCGCTGCTGCCAAGCTGTCGGACCAGGGCTCAGTGTGCAGTGGGACGCGCGTGTTGCGCCTACCGGGGGGGGACCGTGTGGCCTTCCGCGAGATCACTCGAGACCACCCGAGATCACCCGAGAGCGCGTGCTGCGCCTGCACCCCGACACACGCTCGGCATCTACGGCGTGGCACATGCGCGAGAGCACCACCCCCCAAGCGGCGCTGTGGTCCTCCCCGTCGTCGCACGCGCGGTCGTCGCCCCCGCCTCTAACGCCTGCGGGTCGCGGCAGGGGCGCCTTCGGACAGGCCGATCAAAGAAGGTGGCCGGGCGGCGGCGGCGGCGAGGTGAAGGCAGCGCGGTGGGTCGATCTGTCTCATCGGTGCTCGCGGTTGGGGTCGATCTGCTCGACCGGCGCCCCAGCCGACAGTGATGCTGTCGCCGTAGAAGGCGAGCCTACCCCCGTCGTTTTTCTTTTTTGCGAGGTAGTCCGATGTGCGAGGGCGCCGCTCGGCCGCGTGGAAGGTGCACCGCCGCCCCTCGCGCCAGGGCAGCGCGGCCTCGGAGAGGTCGGAGCCCTGCGAGAGGGAGAGAGGCCGCGGTGTGTGAGAGGCGGGTCGGTGGGCAGGAGAGGGCCGGGGTGCTCAGAGAAAAAACAGACAAGCCGGCTCAGCCTCACCTCGTCGAAGATGAGGCCGCCAAAGATGGCGGCTCCGAAGCTGGGGCACCAGTCGCAGGGCGGCCTTGCGCCACACGCCTGTGCGTGTGTGTGCGGCGAGGGAGGGAGTCGGGGTCACGGCTGAACTCCGGGATGGGAGGGAGAGGATCCGCGCCTCGGTCAGCTTGAGGACCATCACGCCTCGCGGCTCGGCGGACAGACCGGAGAAGAGCTCGTACGAGCCGTAGTGGCCCCATGCAGTCTTACGGCCAGCGCTGGTGAGGATCTCGCGGTGGCGGCGGTACCTGCGTTGCGGATGCCTGTCACCGGTCGCGCCGCTATGGCACTCGGAAACACTGTTTCGAGTCGAGCGCCGTCCGGGTGACGTGTTGTGCAGTGGCGGCGGTGCCTCGTCAAGTTGTCGGGCCCGCTGAGGAGCACCGCGTAGCGGTTGGTCCGAGTCTCGTTGAGCAGGATGGACGCAGATGTCGTGCTCGATCGGAATAAAATGCTCACGCCGGGCCAATCAAAGCGCCTCGCAGAGCCGTGGCCGACGAACCGACCCGAGTAGTGCAGCAGCGGGCTGCTGGCTGGCACGAGAATCACAGGCGAAATGCCCTCAGGAGTGACTAGGGCGCGCATATGAGACCTGGGTAGCATATGCTCTGAGGTCACAGTATGGGCATATATACTACCCGACCTTTGCCGGAAAAAGAATTTTATTTTTGGGCCGGGCAGGAAAAAGAATTTGCGCTCGGTGAAAAGAATACAAAAAGACCCTCTCTCAAACTACGCATGGAACTGGCGCGCACTGAGGAAAAAGAATTTTATGCGGAAAAAGAATTTTAGGATTAACCAACAAACTAAAAATAAAACTCTCGAGAAATGGCAGAGCGAGAAAGAATTTCTCTGCGGACAGTGCGATTTTTAGTTTTCCGGATCATGGAAGTACTGAGTACTGCACAAGCTATGTAACGCCGCGGGTTTTGCGCGTGCGCCTTCTAACACTTGGACGGCTCCGGCCCTTGCATCACCGTCCCTTGCACCCTCACGTTGGATACGCGGAACACAGAGGCAGCCAGCCCGCTCTTGTCACCAGACGGGCACTGCCCCTCCGCCGGCGCCCAACCAAACCACTGCGACGACACGATGGCGGCACCAATTGACCCCATTGTCTTTACCACCACCGTGTTGGATTGCTGGGACGGCGCCACGTTCCAGTTGTTGTTGACCTGGCCGTCCAGAGTCAGCAGCAGGGTGCCATCCAAGTCAAGGGCGGCGTGGACGTGGAACTTACCATTGCTGGGCAGGCCCAGTCCGCTGCTGCAGCCCCATCGGTCGCAGTTGGGGTTATTTGGCGTGCCGTCAGTGGCGAAGGTGTGGATGGTAGTGGCCATGGCGCACCGGCCGTTGTTCTCGACAAAGTCCATCTCCATGCAGCTGGGCTTGCCGGACGGCGACTTTTGGATGTCGCAATAGCACCTTTCGCCGCAGTTGGGCTGGCTCGTGCTGCTCGTGTACAGGTTAGTGTTCACCTCCGGCGCCACGCCAGTAACGTCCATGTCAAACGCAATGTACCCGCCCAACAGATTCCACGACGCCTTGGACGACACGCGCGCGTCGCCGCGGAACGTCCACCCCCCGTTCTCGAACGTCACGTCGCCATGCTCCTCGTTGATGTCGCCGCGCTGCCCGTCGGGGCAGTACAGCGTGCCGTTGGAGCCGTTTGGGCCGGGGTGCCCGATGGGAGGCCCGTAGCTGTCGTCGGGACTGCTACCTCCGAGCAGTGTGGCAAACTCCGTGCCGCGTGCGGTCGGCCGCTCGCTCTCGGCGGTGCCCGCTGTGCCAGCAGCCTGCGTTGGGTGGCCGTGGGTGACAGTCGCGACCGCGGCGAGAGCCAACGCAGTCGCGTAGCACCTCATCACAAGAAGTTGTTCCGCACTATAGCGCGTCCGAGAGGTGTGCGCAGCGGCGCCGCCAGGCGCCCGCCCCGGCGGTGAACGAGCGTGACGTTTCGTTGTTGTTGTTTTGCGCTTTCTTGCATCTTGGAGTTTGTTTAAATTCTTGGAGGAGCTACGAGCTGTAGCACGCGCTCCCAGTCCGCACCTGTGTGTCGTCGGACTCAGCGTCCTTTGCTTTCCTTCTTTCTGTCTGTATTCTGATTAACAGCTACACATCAGGTTTAATCATGGTCGTCAGCCTGCACTGCCTCAGCTTTTGCTCCTTGGCCGCGGCGCAGACTTCCGCGTCCCTCTGCTTGCGGAACACCGGCATGCAATGACGGCACGCGCTCGCGTCGGAGACGTAGGTTCGAGTGGCGTCGGAGCTGTTGCAGCAGCTCCACCGCGACTCGTAGCACGAGAAGCATCCGTGCAAGCCCCGCAGAGGTGCGGGCGAGAGGGCGGCCCGAGCCCGAAAGGGCCCGCCCTCGGCCTTGCTCTACATGGTAACGGATAAGAAGAGAAACCCCCCCGACCCTCTCTGCTACCCTCTCTGCTACCCTCTCTGCTACCCTCTCTGCTACCCTCTCTGCTACCCTCTCTGCTACCCTCTCTGCTACCCTCTCTGCTACCCTCTCTGCTACCCTCTCTGCTACCCTCTCTGCTACCCTCTCTGCTACCCTCTCTGCTACCCTCTCTGCTACCCTCTCTGCTACCCTCTCTGCTACCCTCTCTGCTACCCTCTCTGCTACCCTCTCTGCTACCCTCTCTGCTACCCTCTCTGCTACCCTCTCTGCTACCCTCTCTGCTACCCTCTCTGCTACCCTCTCTGCTACCCTCTCTGCTACCCTCTCTGCTACCCTCTCTGCTACCCTCTCTGCTACCCTCTCTGCTACCCTCTCTGCTACCCTCTCTGCTACCCTCTCTGCTACCCTCTCTGCTACCCTCTCTGCTACCCTCTCTGCTACCCTCTCTGCTACCCTCTCTGCTACCCTCTCTGCTACCCTCTCTGCTACCCTCTCTGCTACCCTCTCTGCTACCCTCTCTGCTACCCTCTCTGCTACCCTCTCGTGACGACTCCTCTGAGCAGATTCGAACTGGCGACCAAAAGCTGAGTGAGGTGCCGCCACTCCCCCATGACATCATTTCCTGAATTGCCCACCACCCACCCAGGGCGGTAGGCGCGCTAATAGAGAACCTGAACTAAAGTAAATTGAATGAAAGTATAAAGAAGAAGATCAACAATCCAATGTACCATGTTTCATTCAAATGATTTTCATTTAAAAAATAAATTTGAAATTTTCAATATCATATGCTTAGTCGGCTTATCACACAGTCGCTAGCTTCCTTGTTAGCTTGCTAGTATGTTTGATATTCATGTGTCAATCATTGTAACATCACACTTCTAATCCTCTATCACATCCTCTACCACTCCCACCACCACAGCTAGCTGTGGTGGTTCCGAAAAACAGGTGCGCGGGACCTCAATCCGCAACGGTAGCGAGATAGGTGCTCGCATATACTATATGCGAGCACTATCGCTAAAATCTGGCAAAATGAGGCCACAGCCCCGCTGATGCACTGTCTGCTAGCGGGCAGCAGCAGCACGGCTCGGCACCGCGCTCGGTGGCGTTTTGCTGACCTCAAACGTCAAAGCACAGCGTTTCGCGATGGCTGAGAGAGAGCTGTGCGCCTGTGCAATCCACGCGCACGCTACCAGCGGAGGATGGTGTGCTGCTTTGGCGCGGTGCTGAGAGGTACGCGCGGCGCTGCAACTACAGCGCATAGCTCTAGGCAGCACCTCGAAGTCGACGTTCGTGGCGATTCGCGTCAAGCGGACCGGCTGCGAGCCAGGTGGGCTACGAGCGAGTGCAACCACGACGGCAGCTGTCAATCTCTGAGACACAACAGCTGCCGTCGTGATTGTCAAAGATGGTGCGTTTGGCAAAGCAGGTCACCAAACGCGAGCGATCGAGTCGGCGCCGGCGGCTCGCGTCTCGCGTCGAATAAGAATTTGACGACGGGCGTTCTGCACGACACGGGGCACGGGACTCGCGCGCACTGGCTTTGAAAGAAAAACACTTTTCAGTGAAGAATGTTTGTCAAGGAAACCGAGTCACCACGCACATCTACTGACACGGAAGTATGCACACTGTTCCAATATGAACATCTTCAGAGACGCGCTACTCAACAAGTCCTCAGCTACTAACAACATGCGGCAGATCAGCGGCCGTCGGTGGGGCTAATCCTTGTACTCAACTGGGTGATCTAGTAAGGCATGTCGAAACTTTTGTTGTTGGTCAGCAGCATGTTCGGATGCACCGCCAGCTGCGCCTGCTGCTGCGCAGCGTGCCTGCGGAAGCCTTTGTCGCGGTACTTAACGATCCGGTACACGAACTGCTTGACAGTGTCCTCGAGAGCGGATGCCCACTCATGCGGCGACATCTCCTCAAACGGCTTTACATCGGGAGCCTCCTGCGCCAGGTTGTTCAGGTGCGCGTAGACGAAGTTGTTGATGTCGAACGCATATGGCGTGTACGCAATGATATTCCCGAGAAGGCAGGTGCGCGTGTGCGCACTGCAGTCAAAGACAAAGCCGCCGCCATTGGCGTCACGCGCACGAAGCGCCACCTGGCATGGAATCAGGTCGAAGTACTTCGTCGGGCACGCGGAGGCGTCCGAGTGATGGTTCACCTGGTGCACGACTTGAATGCGGCTGGGCGGCTCGATGCCGAAGCACCTCATCATGGAGTAGTACGCACGGTCATCCGGTTGCGTCGCTACAAAGGTAGGTCGAATGCCGATGGCCACCAGCTTCTGCGGCAGCTCTTCCGGCAGCTCTTGGCGCAGTGCCTTGCGGCAATTCCCGCTGTTTCGATACGCTCTGGCACGCGCCCTCGTCCACGTCGCAGGCAAGGGGAGTTGGAGTCCGGCGCGAGCGGTCTGGTCCCACATTGCGAGAGCATCGATCACTTTCCCCTTCGGCACCGTGATATCCTTGTGGCGGAAGTGTTGCTGTGTCGCCAGCACCTCCTGCATCGCTTTCAAAAATCGCTGACGAAGCTGCTGCTCCCAGAGGAAGATAGCGTCGCGATCGACGACAGTGCCGCTATCGAGTGGATCGGTCGGGTAGTACCTCGACTCCGTCTCGCAGGGCCTGTCAGAAGAGGACATGCTTAACCTGCAGACAGCTGTTGTGGACGAGAGCGTGTCTTCGTCTCACCCCTGGATGGCGAGCGACGCCCAACCTGATGCCTGTGTGGAGGACGACATCCTCGACGTGCGCGACGTGCTCGCACGCGTGCAAGGGAGCATCAACACGTTTGAGGAAGGCCCTCCGAAGGTGCACGTGGCAATCGTGCGTGACAACACTGAATACTTCGCAATTGCGTGGCAACTCAGCCTGCAGCACAATGCCACCCTGCGCCGTCACCGCCGAGAGCCAACTCCCCCGCCCCCTACCACGGAGGCAGGCTCGGGCGCGTGTGCTGCACACGAAGATGCCCTTCGAGCCGCCCGGCGAGGACTTTAGCCACCCTTGCTACGTTAGAGCGCGACGATTGTGCTCGCCACATAAGATCTGTCCAAAATGGTGTATGAGCATGGCCGTGTTTAATCTCAATACTTGAGTAGTTGGCTGTTAGTCAGTATGATATAGCTGTATGTGCCGACGTCGGTTGCTCGGCGTCGTGTTGCGCCGCTACTGGAAGTGCGCGCATGTGCAGTTGATGTGTGTAGACGATCGTTCACTACCTGTAGGGCTTGGCACCGTCTCCTGCTAGCGGTCCCTTTCGTCGATACCGGCTCCCTCCCCCCCCCGGACCGGGACGCCGGCGGTCGAGTCGGGACACGCTGTGGTTCAGACGTCCCCCCCCTCGACGCAGTCGAGTGACTGACATGAATAGCGAGGAGAAAGTGTCCCCGACATATCACCACAGACGCAGCACAGGGGCTCCAATCCTGTCCGCCGGGGCCTCGTCTAGATCCCCACTTGGCGCGCCCCGGAACCCTGTGTGAGAGCCCAACAACAACTCACGTGATGGAGATCCAAGTTGGCCAAGCCGTCGAGCTTATGGCCGTGGAGAACGCTGGTCTCGACATCACAGGCAAGCGCGGAACGGTGACGGAGATTCAGAGTCACGGACTCGTCAGCGTTTCGATTGATGGCGGTGGCGACGTCAGCGTTTGGCCAGAAAACCTCAAGGTCGTGTCCGGTCCGGCGGCGGCAGCGGCGGCAGCAGCGGCGGCGGCCGGAGCGAGCGCTCAAATCAGAGTCGATGCGGTGCGCAGTCACAGGGCGGCGGCCGCCGCCGCGATCCCCGGATTCGCGCAGATTCTCGCGGAGGCGACGGCGACGGCTGGCGGCATTGACGCAGTGGACGGTATGCTCGCTCAGTGCAAGGCGTTTGAAGACCAGTCGCTGGAGATGCACCGCGGTGGATCCTCCGCTGCGGACTGCCTTGCATGGCTGGACGCGAAGCTTCTCTCGATGCAGCTCGAGCCCGACGCCTCGGCCGTGTGGCAGGCGTTCAACAGCATGGTGGAAGACCGCAAGGCTCCCATCGACGTCGTCTACCTCGAGCACCCGACGATCCCAGGGTGCTTCGCCGCAGTCGTTGCGAAGGGTGTGAGCTTCGAGGCGATCCAGCAGGAGTTCAAGAGCTCACTCGAGCTGAGCGTGGACAAGGTCCAATACCACGTCAACGGCACGCGCCACGTCGCGTTCGACTCCGCCGGCCTCGAGCTGATCTTTGCCGCTGCGGCCAAGGAGGGCAAGACGTCCTGCACGCTGCGCCCATTCGATATCGCGGCGACGCTCAAGCAGAGCGGGGCGGAAGGCAGCGTGCGTCCGCCGTTCACCGAGGCCTCCCAGCAGCCGATCGACTGATTGGTCGAGCGCCGCGGCGGCGTTGGGGCGGAGAGGGAAGGGGCAGACCGCCAGGGGACATCTCTGTTTGCGCATCCCCCGTACCAGGCATGTTGAGAGTCGAGAATGCAGCCGGCGCGTCGAGGACCGCTGCGAGGAGCCTTTCGCTTTTGCGGCCCTCGCACGCCTGTGGGGCAATCGGCAGGGTCAGGCGGCAACAGGGGCCGTGTGCGGAGGCGAATGAATGCCAGAATGGTTGAGTACAGTCGCACCGCGGCGGTGGTTGAGAGCGGGTTTACGTTGTGTTTGAAAGCGTGCTGCCCACCACCCTGCCCCCCCTGAAACAAAGAACCCCCTCAACAACCCACGGGGTGTGGAGCTGGAGGGTCGGAGTTGTCAGTTGACCAAGGGGTTGTGCGCCGGGCCCTCCTGCTCGGCTCCAGCCGGTAGACAAGTCTTGTCATCAACAGAGTAGATGGATCTGACCTCGGAGCCGATGTGACCAAGCGCTGGTAGCGTGGTTTAACCTCACACCCATGGTCTCACAGTGTGCCGGCAGTCGCCGAGCAGTGTCGCTCACACAAGCCGCAGCACAAGTGACTGAGGGCCAGTGAGGGCGAGCCCATCGCTGTCACAGCTGTGGCAGCCGCACAGTAGGCTGTGTCAACTGTGCAGAGTGTGTGAGCAGCAGAGGAGCTGCTCTCCAGGCTTCTGTCGCAAAGAGCTGCATGCCACCGAAAGCGCTGGCTGTCGAGGTTCGCCGAGCGCGGCGAAATCCGGGGACACCGTCACCGACGAGCGCGTTGGAGTTTTCACTCCGGACAAAGACGGCCACACGCACACGAGCTGCGGCCGTGTGGCCGTCATAGCGGCGAGGCGCGGGACCGTCTGTGGCGAAGTGGGTCGCGTCCTCCGATTTCCGTCAACCCAGCATCCACACCCTCTATCACCGTTGCGGTGGTGCTCGTAAATCCGCTCGCAAAACTTGAGAGCGCCCACTGCCACGTCGGGAGGGCAAGGCGCACATGCTCAACCCGCCAGGCCGCTGGAGCTACTTTATATCGCACACGCAGCGGAGCGGTCGCGCGACGACGATCGCAGAGCGGAGAGGGCGCTGGAAGCAACAGCCAACACGGAGCCGTTGGAGACGTTTTCAAGATTAGCGTGTCAGAGTGAAATGGCACTAGCCCCTCTCCCCCGAGGTGTTGATACGCATTCTTTTATATTACGTCACCAAAATACAAAAATCGCGCGCCGCTCAAGGTATTACACCACCTCATCGGGCGCGAACTCCCGCTGGAGATAATCCTTCAGAACATCCCGCGCCGCGACCACCTCCTGCATCCGCTTGGTCGCGTCCGCCGCGTCGCAGCGATCCGGATGCAGCTTCCTGGCCTGGTCCTTGTACGCTCGGTCCACCTGCGCCTCGCTCAGAGCGGTGGGCGGCGGGGGTAGCCCCAGCACATCGCGGGCCGTGGCCAGCGCCTCCTCGGCATGCTCCTCTGCGGCGTCATTCGCCGCGCGCTGCTGGTGGGAGCTGCGGTACTCATGAAACGCGCCTTCGGCGCTCCACTCGTACCGGTCGCGAGGGTGGGCATGGTTGGCAGCGCCCGCAGCAGCCGCACCCTGCCCGCCCGCCCCGCCCTGTCCCTCCGGCCATAGCGTGGTGGCGAGGGCGTCGCGAAGAGAGAAGCCCTCCGGCTTGGGCTGCGGCGTGGCATCGCGCAGGAAAATGAGGGTCTGCTCGGCGCGCGTGTACGCCACGTATTGCACGTTGAGCTCCTGCCGCGCCTGCCAGCCGCCCTGCTCGAGCGCAAATTCAAACGGGATCCTATCGCATGCGTCGCGAACACGGTCGGGGGAGGGTGCTGGCGGAGCCTGTGGAGTTTTGGTATCGGGCATGGCTCGGGCGTGCTCGGCTCACTCGGACGGCTCGAGCAAGTAGACGACGGGCCAGCCAAGGCCCTTTGCCTTGTGCACAGTCGCGAGCTCCACCGGAGGCCGCACCTGCGCTCACGGGTCAGGCCGTGCGTGCGTGTGCGGCCGCGGTGGGCGCTCCAAACGCGCAAACTAGATTAGGCTCGCGCGCTCGGTCTCGCAGCACGCCTGCTGACTCGGCAGGACGTACTCGCCGCCCGCGGCCCCAAAGTTGAGGTGCACCGCCTCGCGCAACGCCTTGAGCCTCGCCGCCTCGTCGGCGTGGCTGCTGTCCTCCCGCACGCGGCCGATGAGCAGCCGGATGCACTCGGCAAGGTCGCTCAGAGCGTACTCGACGCCGCGACCCTCCTCCGCAGCCACCTGCAGCCGAGATCGGTCAGAGATCTCGCACGCTACCTCGTCCTGCCATGGACATCTCGGCCGTCCATCGGTTATCTCTAAGCCATGTCTCTCAGACTGTCTTGGCTACGTCTCGCCTCCTCTTCGCGCCGCACGTGGCTGTGCAGCGCCGACTCGACCTCGTCCAAGCTCTCCATCTGGTCGATGCCGCGCCTAGCTCATTAGCTTCATTCGTTATAATTGGCCATTGAGTTTCGCCCTCTCCGCCCGGTCGATGGCGCCCGTCGTAGGAAAGCTTCTTGAGCAGCCCGTCGATTTTGGCAGCGAGAGGCTTTCGGCCTAGCATGCGGCTCGCGACGCCCTTCGCAGCGAGCAGGAATAGCAACGCAAGTAGAGGCGCGTTGCGGCGGGCGAGGATCGCCCGCTCCGCCCGCAGCGACACGCCGCCCGCCGCGCCGCCGCCAGCCACGTCGCCTTCTTTTTTGGCGGCGGCCAGTGCCGTACTGGCGAAAGTGTAGTCTCCCGGCAGCGGGTGGCTGGCGAAAGTGCATCCGTCCTCTCCTGCGCGGTCCTTCCTACAGATCTCGCCGCGCCCCTTGCCGCGCATCGGCCGCATCTTCTCGCCCGTGCCTAGAGCGAGTGGCGTGGCTCACTGAATCGTGAGCCGCACATTTACCGCCTGTCCTCGCCCGCGCCGTTGGTGGCGTTGTCGATGACGGTGTTGGCGAGCTTGATGTGGCTTTCCGGGCAGCGGCGGCAGATGGGGAGGCTGTACACCTTGCAGTCAAACGTCTCGAAGAGCGTCTCGAGCGCGTCTTCCATCGCAAAGGCCCACCCGTACAACGCCTGCATGAATGATCAAACTAGAGAGATCAGTGGCGCCTAAAGGATGAATCTACTCAGTAGTACAATCCTGCATGTCGTCCCCGACGACGAAGATGCGGCATCCCGATTCGGCCACTAGCCGCTGCAACATCAGCTGCCGGATGCGGGAGTTGTCCTGCGTCTCGTCAGCCAAGACCCACCGCAGCGGCCCGTCCAGCCGACGCAAACGCCCCAAGCGACGCGGCGGCCCAGGGTCGAGCGACAGCCCCTGCCGCACGGGCATGTGCAACAAGTCGTCGAAATCGAGGACCGGCAGCGGCTTGGCCTTCTTCCCGCTGCCAAGCTCGCACACAACCTATGGACCAAGATGCGGCCGAGATGCGGACATGCGATTGAGCAAAGACGCACCAGCTCGCACGTCACCTCTCCGGGCAGCGCCTCCCACGCCGAGTTCAGCGCGCAGTGGATGCTCGCGCCGAAACACTTGCGCGCCATGCTCAGGCCCGCCTCAAGCCGCGACACTGCAGTGGGCCACCTCGCATTCGCCTGCGCCGTGCGCGTCTTGGAGAGCCTCTTCTTGAGGACCAGCTCGATGCCCTGGCCGAGAGGAAGGGCGGCGGGTCGTGAGGACAAGCGAGCGAAGAAGTGAAGTGACAAGAGATAGCAGTGACAAGAGGTAGCAGCGAGGTGAGAGGCGGCGGTGGGTGAGGCCTCGCGCCTCGTCGAGCTTGTGGCGATCGCACAAGCTGGCCCACGTCTCGCTGCTGTCCGGGCGACCGCCCTCGATGCCCACCGCCTCCATCTTGGCCAGCGAGACCATCTTCACAACGAAGGACTCGAAGAGATGCACCTCGAGCGACAGCGAGGAGCGCGACGTGTCTTCCGCCGGCTTCGGGTACATCAGCCGCAGCAGCATCTTTGACTTGTTTGGCACGTACGCATTCTCCACAGGCGCCTGCGGTGGGTAAGGCGAGCGTCTCCGCACAGTGCGGCACAGGGCGCGTGGGGTGTATGCGCGCGCCTCGTCTGCAGCGCAGTCATCGGCGTCAGCCGCCGCCTCCTCGGCGGCCTCCTCCTGCTCCTCGGCCGTCGCGGCCAGGGTGGACTTCCGGTGCGCTTTGTACCACGCCTTAGCACCAAGTGAGTGAAAAGTGCGCGCCTCCGGCACGTCGCGCTCCTCCAGCTCCCGTCTCGCGTCGCAGTTCAGCGTCAGCGCGAGGAGCCGCATGTTGCGATCGCGCACGTGCTTCGCCGTAACGGCAATGCAGTGTGTTTTCCCGGAGCCCGCCCTGGCGCGAACGCCGATGTTGCGGCTCGTGTCATCGACGCATGCGATGATGGGCGCTATATGGTCCTTCTCCGCCTCCGGCTCAGGATAGGGGACTGACGCTGCCGCCGCTGCTGCCGCTGCCCCTGCTGCCGCCTCGAGCCTCCGCTTCTCATCTTGCAGCTGCTTCATTCGGTGAAGTGCACAGCGGACATGCACGGGTTGCAGACCTGCGACTCCAGCAAGGTCGGCATAGCAGCAGTGCATCTCCAGCACAGAGCCGCGGCAGATCTCGCAGTCTCCTGGTCGTTGCGCCGTGAATATTTTGGACTTGATCGGGCAATCTTTAGCGAAGTGGCCCGGCTGTTTGCAGCGGTGACAGTCCCCCCACTTGTCTGCGAGACTCTGAGGCAGGCACTCACCGCTGCGGCCTGGCGTCGCCACGCTCTGCTGCGAGAGGCTGCAGCTCTGCTGCGAGAGGCTGCGAGACGGCGTCAACGCGTCGACGCTCCCTTGGCTCTGAGCGCCGCTATCTTGACTCGAGCCAGCACCTGGGCTGCTATTGGGCACCGCCACCCGCGCACGTTTGGGACTCGACTCCATGTCGAGCAGTCGAGAGCGTGGAAAAGAATTTCACAACGCGCTCTCGCACACGCACGATTCACACGACAGACAAGGCGCAGACGACGGCTTCCTTAGAAGCCATCGTCCTCGCCACAAGAGCCGGCGTGGAAAAGAATTTTACAACAAAACTCTCTCACACGACACCGTGGAAAAGAATTTACGAAGTTCTTTTTCACAGCAGAAAGGCTCGACACAGGTGCGAACTGGCGCGTGCTAGTACTATCACAGGCACACCACCGGAGCCGCCTAAGCGACTCCGTTAAGAACGGCAATGCATTCCGCACCGTGCACAATGCCGCTGTCCCCGCACGCTAGCTCGTTCAGAGAGAGATTTTTATTAACCAACAAGAAATCACGACTCTCACAGTGATTTGGGCTCGGCAGCTTGTTAGCCCTCAGCCGAAGCTGGGGCCGGTCCCGTAGCCGAGGAGCCCGCGCCGATGAGTTCGACGCGGTCGGGGGGGCCTGCGGAGAGGCCAGCGAGTTGGCGATCGCTGTACTTCATGGCGCCCTCAAAGTGGGGCTGGCTGACAAGCCAGAGGTCGATACACGATACTCTGGACGTCCCATAGGATGCCACGAATGCCTGAAGGAGAGGGAGGCGAGGCCAGAGGCAGGCTCAGCTGCTCTCGGGTGATCCCGCTTTGGAGGCTGAAGGACCCGATGGTCCTGTCACATTCGCGTTCCGAGTCGTGGGGGCAGAAGAATTCGAGTAGAAATCGAGTCAGCACTTCCTTGTAGTACAGCGGACCATCCGCAGGGAGGCAGCATATGAGGCACCAGTTTTCTGGAGAGCTCAGCAGCTGCGGCCGCGGTGGCAGAGTCGGCCGCGGTTCGAGCGAGCAGCTTTTGGCTGCGGGTTCGAATCGCGGAAGGCTCATGCCCTCGCGGAGCGACGCGGGTCGCGCGGCGTGCGCGTGTGCGAAATGCGACAAAAAGACGAAAGACGACAGGCGCCTGAGCGCTGTACGCCTGAACTTTTGTCGCCGCAATCGCCACCGCCGCCATCTTGACGAGCAGCGCGAGCGCGCTCGTCGGCGGCCAGCCGTCGCGGGCCGGGCCGAGCCCGGCCTCAACCGGCCGCGCCGCCGCAGCAGGCCCGGAGGCCCACATGGCGGCCGACCAGCTGATAAGGAGCTTCGTACGGTCTCTCTCTCGTTCACCGTCTGCCACGCCACGGCGCTGTGGAGAACGACAGACAAGCGCTGCATCTGCAGCCCGTGCCAGTTCTTGGTGGTCCATGTGACCTCATCGAGGTGCTCTGAGCGTGCGAAAGTTTGTTATACTCAGCTGGTCCGCCGCCTGCCGAAGAATTTTGCGGACGCGCTTCCCGAAGCCGCCGAACGTCTCGAAGTCGAGCAAACGCAGGTCGCAATTCTTCTCCCGCGCGAACCGGTAGTCGCCCTTCTTGTAGTGGGCCGTCATGCGGCGCGAAATAATCGTTGCGCAGGACAGGCAGGAGCAGGCCGCGAAGGCGCGCAGGCAGCAAATCGAGGCGCTGCAGGTCTCCATCGAACACCTCGAGGCTAGCTTTGATTGCTACATCCGCCAGCCAGACGCGACGCAGCCGCGGCGTCCACTGGCGTGCGATGCCGAGACGCTCAATAATCTCCGACAGCAGCTCGTTGCCGAGGTCGGTGTCCGGCGTCGGCTCCCCCTCGTGCAGGCTTGTGCCGCTGCGCACGAGCGCGACCGCTGCATTTTCACCGCAGAGACTCGTGCCGGTGCGCCACAGTGGCTCGCTAAGCACGCAGGGCGGGGAGAGAAGTGAGCAGGCGCGGCCCGAGGACTTTGACACGCGTCAGCTCTACAAGGATTGCATCCGGCTCAGCCACCACATCGCGGCGAGGGTGAGGACGCCCCTGCGCGCTCCTCCCACGCCCCACGCCTCACAGCACCCGCCCTGATTCACCGCTCTGCGCCGCCGCGCCCCGTCCGCCTGCAGAGCCCGAAGGGCGAGGCGATGCGTTCGATGATCCGGCAGCAGTTCAAGTCAAACATGGGCGAGACCGACCCGACCAAGATCAACGAGCTGAAGATGCGCGCCATCTCGGGGATCCAAAACTACGTGATCCACGAGAACACCCGCAAGGCGCTCTCTAAAAAGGGGAAGGAATACGCCTCCTCCTTTGACGCAGGTAGTGGCGGTGGCAGCAGCGGCAGCAGCGGCAGCAGCAGTGGCGCGTCGTGAAGTATACGACGGTTGCGCGACGAATGTGCCCGGCGGTGCCTTGCCTCGAACGCGTCGAAGCCGCTCCCCGCGGCTCTTCCCTCCGACTCATGCCAACACCCTTTTTTTAAATAAATAAATAAAAACGGACACCTCTCTCGGGCACGCCGCAGACCTTTGTCGACTCGCTGCCGCGGGGCGAGACGGGCCTCTCATACTGCGCCTGCTGGCCGAACCTCTCCAAGGCGGTGCTGGTGGCGGTGATGATTTATGGCAGGACGAGAGCGCTGCCGCAGCAAGTCGACTACGCCCTCACGCTCGCCATCGAGATCCCGTCTTCGGACATGTCGCCACCGCCAAGCCGTCTCCTCAGATGTGCACGGAGGGAAGGCTTCACGCGCCACAATGGTGTGCGCATAGGTCGCCCGTCGAGCTGCTCCTCAGCCCGGGCGGGGAGCGCGACAGCGACGAGCGCGACTCGACGCGCGCGCGCGGCTCCTGGCTCTTCTCGCAGGCCGACTTGCGCGGCTTGGCTCGGCGGCTGACTGGCAGCACGCCCGCCCACCACCCGGGCGACGTGCCACAGCGCGACGGCGTGAGTTCGGGCAACGAGTCTACGGACGAGGCTGGAACGCTCGGCGACCTGCTTGATGCTAGGGCTCCGGACGACGAGGGCGCGTCGGGGTCGCATGCGAGACCGGAACAGCGGGCGAACAAGGTGCTGGTGTGATGCTGTGCACGTTGCGCGCGGGAAGGTCACGTGCAGGGTGTTGCGAGATCGTTGCGACTACTCAAGGGGTGTTCCTAAATCGCCTCGGAAACGAGAGAGAGAGATTTTTAGCAATACCAAACAACTCTACGAACACATCATTTTTGGGGCCTGGAGCCCTGTTCACGCGCGCGCTTTTGTCGGAAACGCGCGCGGAGAGGGAGTAGAGGCAGCACGGTGGTATAACACGCGTGGCTCGCAACCTCCCTCCCGCGCCATAAATAGGAAATGGGCGACGCACGAACCCCGAGGCACAGCGGACAGCGGTCCGTTTTTTTAAAGTCGGCGCCTCACCGCGCGCTCGGTTGCCGCGCGCCGGCTTTTCTCTGTCCCTCCGGCTGAGGTGTCGAGTAAAGCCATGAAAGTGCACACTTCGGGGACGTACGACGCTGCCGTCGCCGTCAATCACGCAGTACACGGTGCTAGCCTACTTTTGTGGGGCCCATCAGCAGGCCGCAGGCCTCACCGGCGCACGCATCCCGCCCAAGAAGCAAATTGCTCAGATGCAGCTGCCGCCAGTGACGCCGCCAAGAACGCCGCCGAGGTCATCCAGGGCTCCTTTCGTCGATTGTGCCGAGCGCGGCGCCGCGCAGTAGTCAAAATCCAGGACGCTTGGAGAGTCCGGCAGCGGAGCCGTCCCTCGTATCTCGCCGACACCCTTATGCAGGCCCACGCACGCAGCCACAGCAACTACACCGCGCACAATATCAGCATCTGGCGCGAGCGCGGCGGAGGCGACCTGGAGCCGGTCCTCGCGAGCGGCGCTATGGCCCTCGTCGACGCGCAGTGGATCATCAGCCACGCCGAGGCGGGCGGTGTCGTCACGCACCGGCAGGCGCTGCCCAAAGAGGCCTTCCTCTCCCTCGCCGACCTCGTCGAGGCGAGCCGAGCCAGCCTGGGCGGGCTGCCCGTCATCGCGCTTTCTTGCCCGTGGAGGACGAAGCAACACCCCGACCCCGACGGCGCGCCCCTCCTCCGCGCCGCGGCGCGGAGGCGGATATAGCGCCTCTGTTGATCATCTAGTTGCTCTATGACACAGGCGACACGCTCCGCCGCGTGGGCTCGGGGCTCAGGGCCCTCGCCAACGACTGGTACAACCGCGGCCAGCGGTTCGGCGTCTTTTGGGACTTCCTCTCGCTGCACCAGCACCCCGACCCCGCGCACGGACGGGTGCGCACCGCCGAGGAGAACAGGCTCTTCAGGCAGGGGCTTGGCTGCCTCGGCAGGTCCTCGCACGCGGATGGAGAGGCTCAGGGCCTGCGCGGCTCTTCTTGATAACCAATCCAGTGATGACAATTACCTCCATAGGCTCTTTGCCCACCCGCACACCACCGTGCTGCGGACCGCAAGCTACCCGGAGGGGTACGACGGCAGGTCTCCCCCCCATCCCTCGCACACCACCTTGTGCGCGTAGGGGCCTTTACCTGCCCCTTGCGGCGGCAGGCAGTGGTCCGCGCAGCTCGTGCTCAGCCTGAGGGACCAGTACGAGGGCCTTCCCGGTCCGAACTTGTGGCGGTACACCGAGGCGCGCTGCTCTCGCCTGCGCTGCTGCGTGGAGAGAGTGAGAGGGGGCCCGACCATGGACTAGATTACGGTTGCTCACTACTGCTACCGAGGCGTGCTGGTCGAGGCTGAGCTGCGGCTCAAAGCTCTCCCTCGACCTCGACCAGATGGGGTCACTCTGGCGACCCGTGCCGCGGCAAGCAATCCACTCGCGGCGATTGGTCATTGGCTTGATCGTAGGCGCCTGGCGGGCGACCCGTCATCACTCAGTCCGTCAGCAAGGGATCTCACAGTGATTACTCATTCGTAGGCGCCTGGCGGGCGACCCGTGGTACGACCGGTCCGCGATGATTTCCGAGTGCGCGGAGGGCGGCGACCGGTGGCCGCCGCTGCTGCCGTCGCAGTTCACGGAGCGGCTCGACGCGCGCGCATTCACTGAGGGCAAGGACGACAAGGCGCTCGTCAGCCGGCTGTACGCCGGCGCCTTTCGGGAGGAGATGCGGAGGGCCACAAGGCGCCATGCGAGCTTGCTCGTGGGGTAGGGGGCGGGGGAGGCGGCGCCTGTTCACGCGTGCAGCTGTGAGCGTACAGGCTCGGCTACGGCGGCCTCGGCTGGGGCGACGCGGAGGCGGCGCAGGTGGCGAGGGTGATCGCGAGCGGCGCGCTGCCGCGACTCGAGGCGCTGTCCTTCCTACTCAACGACGTTGGGGACGACGGGGCGAGGGCGCTGGCCGCCGCCCTCGGCAGGAAGTGGGTGGCGACCCGCCTCTCCCGCGTCGACCTCTGCGGCAATTCGATCCGCGACGGGGGCGCGAAGGCGCTGGCCGCCGCACTCGCCCATGGCGGAGCTTGTCCTTCGCTCAGGCAGGTGGTGGCAGCAGCTGCAGTAGACGCGCGCGCACACACACACAGAGCCCCCCCCCCCCCCCACCCCCACCCCCTTCTGATGGTAATTGAAACCCACTCTCTGCATCTCTTAGACCCTCGATAGACCTCCCGCCCCCGCCCTGCCCCTCTCAGCTCTACCTCGACTACAACTGCATCGGAGACAAGGGCGCCGAGGCGCTGGCCGCCGCCCTCGGCAGGGCGGGGGCGCCGCAGCTGAAGAGGCTCTGCCTGGGCAGCAACGCGATCGGCGAGGGCGGCGTGGGCGCGCTCGACGCCGCGCTCTTGCGGCGCGCGGCCATGATCGGCGACGAGAGCATGCTCGCTCGGCGCGGCCAGACGCGCCGCTCTCTCGAGCGCAGAGCAGGGTGTGTGCGGGAGCGCCTCTGAGCCTTCCCGGAGCCGTGTGTCAATCAGGCGCGGCCAGACGCCGCTCGAGATCGACTACAGCCGCCTCACCAAGGAAGGGGCCAAGCGCCTGCTCGCTCGCCACGGGAGGTCACAGCCGCACACTCCCATACGGATGGGACACACTGCGCTGGGGGCCTAGCCACACTTTGGATGGCCGTGCCCCCCCTTGCCCCATCAGCTTGTGTAGTGTGGGCGTGGTGACTGGTGACGCTTGTCGTGTCGTACCTCTTTGCCTTAGGCCAGCCGACGGCCCGCCGCCCCACGACTCGCCAGTCTCGCCGACCGTCGCCCTGCAGTCTGCCGAGCCCGAGGTGAGCGAGTCGTCCAGCCGCCGCAAAGGCCGCCCGCGACGGGGCCTCGCCCTCCGGCTCATCTCGACGGAGCTGCGCAGCCGCAACGTGAGGGAGAGGCTCACTCTTCTGTACAGGTAGAGAGAGAGAGAGGTACTCTCTCGCACTGCGTGTAGAGCTGTAGAGCCGTGTACGGCTCTTGTAGCGACTTCTCTAGCGAGAGCCGAGCGAGAGAGGACGCCGCGTCCTCTCTCTGTGACGCCTCCAAGCTCCGGATTTTTATGCATTATGGGAGCGCGTGAAAGGCAAGATAATTACAAAGCGGAAAGGCAACTTTTGCCACGTACGCGCGCGCACTGTCACAACTCTCAGTCTCTCGGGGCCACGGCCATCCGAGAGGTCCGCGGCTGCTGCGCGCGAGCAAGGTCTGCTTACAGTTACACAACGTCTTTCAATCGACGTCTTCAAGCACGGCAGTGCTATGGCCGGCGCTACACCAAAGCAGCGAGAGGAGAGTTCCGCGCCGTCCCCATAGGCGCCACCGCCTCCCACGCATCCAACGCCGGGTCGTACCGCTCCACCGAGCTGAGGTCGTCGTCGTGTTCGTTGAAGCCTCCCACAGTGTACAGCTTGCTATCGAGCACCGCAACGGCAAACATCTCCCTCGCCGTCGCCATCGGCGCCACCTCCTCCCACGCATTCGCCGCCGGGTCGTACCGCTCCACCGAGCTGAGGCGGCCGTCGTCGTCGTTGTAGCCTCCAACAGCATACAGCTTGCCGTCGAGCACCGCCACGCCGTGACCTTCCCGCATACTCGCCATCGGCGCCACCGCCTCCCACGCGTTCGCTGTCGGATCGTACCGCTCCACCGAGCTGAGGGGGCCGTCGTCGTCGTTGCTGCCGCTCACAGCGTACAGCTTGCCGTCGAGCACCGCCACGGCGTGAGCCTGCCGCGCCTCCGCCATCGGCGCCACCGCCTCCCACGCGTTCGTCGCGGGGTCGTACCGCTCCACCGAGCTGAGGAAGCCGTCGTCGTCGTTGCAGAAGCCGCCCACCGCGTACAGCTTGCCGTCGAGCACCGCCACGGCGTGAGCCTGCCGCGCCTCCGCCATCGGCACCACCGCCTCCCACGCATTCGCCGCTGGGTCGTACCGCTCGACTGAGCTGATGACGCCGTTGGTGTAACCTCCCACAGCGTACAGCTTGCCGTCGAGCACCGCCACGGCGTGATTCACGCGTGGCGTTGCCATCGGCGCCACCTCCTCCCACGACTTCGCAGCCAAATCGTACCGCTCCACCATTGGAAGTTGCGCTGTCAGCCACGTCATCGCCGCCCGCCGCGTAGAGCTTGCCGTCGAGCACCGCCGTGCGGACATACAGCCGTGCCGTCGGCATTGGCGCCACAGCCTCCTCCTCCCACGCATTCGTTGACGGGTCGTACCGCTCCAGCGAGTTGACAGTCCCACCCTCGCTGTCACGGCCGCCGATCACGAGCAGGCGCGGCCTCTTGCGCTTCTTCAGCGTCTCCTTCCAGCCGCGGCGCCACGCGCGGCACGTCCCCTTGGCGGCGTGCTCCTTGGTCGGCAGCTGGGCGAGGATGTGCGGGGCGAGGTCCGGCGAGAGGAGGACCTCGGAGAGGACCCACTCGGGCTGCTCCACGAGCCGTGCGGCGTGCTCCTCCGCCACGCGCAGCGCGGCGTCGCTCGCGCCCGCCTGCGCCTCGATGATGGCGCACAGCTGCGCTGGCGAGAGGCCCGCGACGCGGGCGCCGATGCGGTGGGAGGCCATGTACAACCCTGGAGAGGCCATGTACAACCCTGGGTTCCGGCTCCTACCCGGATAGGGGGTCTGTTACACTGGCTGGCCCCTCCCGCCGAGGCGGGACCACTCGGGGACAGTGCTGACGGGACGCGGCTTGGGAGACGACTCCCGCGAAAGCACGGCTGGCATCCGTGGCGTGGGGCTCGCCTCCGAAAAGTCGGGCATGGCTCTCCCCGCAACTCTCTTGCTAACACGCGCGCCCCACCGAAACTGTGGTGGGCGCGCTGCGGCCGCACGTCTACCTCCGTCATAGTGCCACGACGTGCGGCCTAGACTTAGCACACGCGCCTCAGCTTGCATACACTCATACATTGGATTGTCATCGCCTGTGAGTGCGAGAAGGGCTAGCCGCAGGCAGCTAGCCCATGAGGAGAGCGTCCATAGACACCTCACTAGACCCCACATACGGTCTCGTCCGTGCCTCGCAGGCCGGTGAGATTGCTAGAGGTGGAGCAAGCTGCTCTAGCCTCACATGTCACTTCCTGTTGTCTGTTGTTTGAGTTGTGCCCTTGTTTGTGCCCTTGGCACCGTGGAGTGCTGGGGGGGGCGACAGGGAGGATGTGGCCCTGAGTTATGTGTACGCCGACTCAGGGTGTGTGGCAGCCAGCTGGCTGTGTGTCTTGTGAGCCTGTTTGTGTCTGTGTGTCGCTCGTGCGTGTCGTCATCATCTGTCCAGCGTCCACCCATACCGCGTTGGTGTCCAGTCCGAGCCTGGCTGTTCTTCACCTTTCTACCTACCTACCTACCTACTAGATAGGTAGGTAGGTTGGTCTTGTTTGGCCCAAAAGGGCCCTGCAATAGGTAGGTAGCCCCTATTTTCATCCTTTTTCGCTTCGCTGCGCGGCCTGGGGATAGGTAGGTAGGTAGGGCGTTTTGGCGCGAGTCAGTCCCAACAGACCCCCATCCGGGTAGGAGCGGGCGGCGGGAAAAAAGAAAGAAGAAAAACAACACCCAAGGGAGGGATGGCGGGAAGCGAGCTCTTTCGTCAGGCGCGGTTTTCGAAAAAACGAACGCTTCTGCGAAATTCAGACTCGGTCGAGAGACCCCAGATTGGCATCCATGCCTCTCTGGACAGGGTGGCCCGCCACAACGACCCCTGGAATTGCGACTCGCCGCTTTCCTCCCGCTGTGATTCTGTGTGAGCTCTGAGTCTTGTCTGCCAACAATACACCTAAAATCGGCGAAATTCTTTCCGCTACTCGCCGCATCCGCAATGAGCTGTGGCCTGGCTCTCGCCGCGGCGCCCTGCCGCACCGGTCTGCCGCTGGCGTCTCGCGCCGTACCCATCGTCGCTAGCCTGCAGTCCAGCGTCGGAGGCGGCTTCGTGTCCGCTGCCGTCAAAATGGGCGAGGGATTGATCGCGAAAGCGATTCGCTCCCCTCTTATTTCCGTGGCGGCGCTGCTGCTGCTCGCGGCATCCAAACGACCGTGGCGGAGAGCCTGTGCCCAGGCACGTCCATCAACGCCGCGATGCGCCACATAGGTGCTGGCGCTGCTCAAGGAGAAGCGGGCACAGGCGGCGCTGATCGAGAGCGGAGAGGCTAGTCTGAGGCAGTGGCTCTCAAAGGGCAAGAGGCCGCGGCGCGTGACGTCTCGCGCATCCCTTGGTCTAGGCGTGCATGCTCGGCGACGAGGACAGCTGCCGCGAATACGACGAGGGCGTGCAGGCGACGCCGCGCTGGAAGCTGGAGGCCGCTCTCTCGAAGCTGCCAAACACTAACGTGCTGGGCAACAAGCTCGCAGAGTCCCCACCTCCGATGGGCTTCACGTGGGGCAAGTCCTTCTGAGCCCGGCCGGCGGAGCGACTCGCGCCGTCGCTCCGCATGCCGCGATCCGCGCGCCGAACGCGAGAGAGAGCACCGGGGCGGAGCCTCGTACCCCGATGGAACTCAGAACAAAAACTCTTAGTCGAGTGGGTAGGTCCAGCGATGCTAGCGCGCTTTTTTTTGGGACACTGTAGTCACATGACGCGGTGCTGCACACATGCGGGGCGTTTTGGGGCGTCCGTAGACTCAATACATCGCGCAGCCGCAGGTAGGGCGCGCGCACGTACCCATGCAGCATGCTGTTGCTCCATGGGAACCAGGGAAGTACGGCGAAGCCCGGCGAACGGCGAAAGTCGCGGATCAATACGAATACCGGCGCTCATGCAGTAGCTAGCAGGATCTCGGACGGCAGAGCGGGCGAGGCGAGAAGTCTAGCGAGGGTGTGTGTGGTGAGGGGGGCTTGGCAGCACCGCGTCTCTCCTCTGCGCCCCTCGCGCCCGGCCCTCGGCCCGGCCTCGCCCCGTCACGGGGCGGCGAAGGAGCGGACCATCTCGTTGACCTGTGGGAAGGTTCCGAGAAGGCTCAGGGAGAGGTGGCGGCGCCGGAGCGGAGCCTGGAGCCTGTGGGTCACCTCGGCGGCGTACTTGAGGTGGATGTTGTGCTTGCCTGGAGGGGAGCAGGAGGGGGCGACAGGTGGAGGGGCAGGCGGAGGAGAGGGGGAAGAGATGCAGCCGCCGGGTGCTAATCTCGGGTCATCTGGGGTCATCTCGGGTCATCTCGGGGCATCGCCACCGTCGGGGAAGACATGCAGCCGCGCGTCCGCCATGTTGTCTGCGAACCAGCGCGGGTGCTCGGAGAGGCAGATAGGGTCCTATCTCAAGGCAATCTCCAGGTCATCTCGAGGTCATCTCGGGTGCTCGGAGAGGCAGATCGGGTCCTCCTCTAAAGACACCAAGGGAAGAGGGGGGGGAAGGGAGCGCGTCCGTGTGGTCGGCTCGCCGCGAGGAGAAGGCAAGGGCTGCCTCTCAGGAGAGAGTGGCAGAGGTGCAGGAGAGCTGCCTCAAAGGCGTCCGCGTCGTCGGCGCCCATGTACGCGTTGCCGCCGAAGATGACGAGCCGCCGCACGGCCGCGCGCTGAGACGCGGCGAGCATCACCGCCGCGATCGCGCCGTCCGACCACCCCATCACCGCGTAGCGCTCGTGGCCGAGTGCCCGCATCACGGCCGCGGCGTCGTCGGCGTCGCGCTGGTAAAAGTCGGGCGGGAAGTCGCGCACGGGCGGACGCGACTGCCCGTACCCGCGTGGGTCGCACGAGACCACCTGGAACGAGTCGGACAGCTCGCGGAGCTGCGGGCCAAAGTCCGTCTCTGCGGTGCCTAGGCCGCCCGGCATGCAGAGCAGTGGTGGCAGAGACGCGTCGCCGCTCGTCACGACGTGAAGCTGGACGCCGTTGGCGGTCACCTTCTGCGCGCTAGTGCACAGGCCCCTCGCCGCGAGAGCTCGCGCTCCTCGCGTTGGGGCAGTGGAGGCGGCGGAGAGGCGTGACTGAAGTGCCGACCGCAGCATGGTGTAGTTGTGCGAAAAAGAACTCTATTGACACTGGCACGAGGGTAAGCCACGCCGAACGCAAGGAAGCCGGGGAAGACGACCCCGAGGAGGACGAAACACCAGTGGAAATCCCGCCGTCAGCTGTCACGATATACCCGAAGGGAACCCCAGTGCCAACACCGACAGTTGAGGTACAAGTGCTCGAAACGAGAGTGGACCTGAGCAATGACATGACAGGGCGGGATATGCTCGCAGTGGGAGTCAGAAATGTGGTCCTTGCGCGAGGAATGCTCGATAAACTCGAGGGACCAAAATACGCGGAGAGCGGAGAGCGGAGTTACGCAGAAAGGCGAGAGAAGCAGCGAGAGCAAGAGATCGGCAGACGACAGCGGCGTCTCAGAACGAGGCCGACGGCCCTCTCAGAGATCGAGGCGGCGTCCCTGCTCTTTCTCCACCCTTGTGCGGCCGTGCTGGCGCTGCTCCTCGCGGCGTGCCTTGAGCCGCTGCTGCGTGGGCAGGTCAAGAAGAAGACGGTAGATGACCGCAGCCACGAAGCGATCTCCGTACCCTTGCTCTCCAGCAAGCGTGCTCTCCGAGTTGGCATTGTGATCAGCTTCTGCCTGCAGGGCGTATGCGGTACCCCAGCGGGACCGCTCCAGCCCGTCAACGTCAGCAGCCCGTGCTCGCTCACCGACGGCGGCTCGTGCGCCACGTCGCCAAACTACCCGAACAGCTACGGCAAAAACGAGGAGTGCACCATCAGCGGCGTGCCGCCGGTCGAGCTGGAGACGGTCGCCTTTGATGTGGAGGGAGACGCTTGGTCCTACGACGACTACGACGGCAATGGCGACCCCACGGACGACTGCCCCGACTATCTCACCGTCAACGGCACGAAGTACTGCGGCACCTCGGGGCCGAGTGGCGCGGTGGCGGAGGACGGCGTTATTAAGTGGCGATCGGATGGTTACGAAGTCAGGTCGGGCTGGAAGGCGCACCCCCATAAAGAAAGAAAGAAAGAAAACACACAACCCAAGGGAGGGATGGGAGAACGGCACGCCGCCACCACACAGGGATTTTAAGGAGAGGATTCCTCTCTAATAAATAAATAAATAGAGCAGTCATCTCCAGGGAGAGATGGGCGACGCACACGAACACAGAGGGATCCTCTCTAGTATAGGACACCGCACGCCGAAAATTTCTTTTTCTCGGACGCCCCTCGCCCTCGCCAGCTTGCACATATATGGCCTCCCACCGCATCGGCGCCCGCGTCGCGGGCCTCTCGCCAGAGCAGCTGTGCGCCATCATCGAGGCGCAGGCGGGCGCGAGCGACGCCGCGCTGCGCGTGGCGGAGGAGCACGCCGCTCGGCTCGTGGAGCAGCCCGAGTGGATCCTCTCCGAGGTCCTCCTCTCGCCGGACCTCGCCCCGCACATCCTCGCCCAGCTGCCGACCAAGGAGCACGCCCCCAAGGGGACGTGCCGCGCGTGGCGCCGCGGCTGGAAGGAGACGCTGAAGAAGCGCAAGAGGCCGCGCCTGCTCGTGATCGGCGGCGAAGGCAGCGAGGGCGAGTTTGTCAACTCGCTGGAGCGGTACGACCCGTCAACGAATGAGTGGGAGGAGGAGGCTGTGGCGCCGATGTCTACAGCACGAGCGCATGTCCGCACGGCGGTGCTCGATGGCAAGCTCTACGCGGCGGGCGGCCTGAGTGAGGCCGACAACTTCGCATCTTCCAATGGTGGAGCGGTACGACTTTGCCAGGAAAGCGTGGGAGGAGGTGGCGCCGATGGCGGCGTCGCGGTATTATCACGCCGTGGTGGTGCTCGACGGCAAGCTGTACGCTGTGGGTGGGCGCAGCAATGGCGCCTCCCTCAGCTCGGTGGAGCGGTACGACCCGGCGGCGAACGCGTGGGAGGAGGTGGCGCCGATGGCGGAGGAGCGGTATGATCACGCTGTGGCGGTGCTCGACGGCAAGCTGTACGCTGTGGGCGGCTTCGACGACGGCTTCCTCAGCTCAGTCGAGCGGTACGACCCGGCGTTGGACGCGTGGGAGGCGGTTGCTCCGATGGCGTCGGCGCGGCTGGAACACGCCGTGGCAGTGCTCGACGGCAAGCTCTATGTCGCAGGCGGATTGGGTGCCGGCTACACCCACCTCAGCTCGGTGGAGCGGTACGACCCTGCGTTGGATGCGTGGGAGGCGGTGGCTCCGATGGCGACGGCGCGGTTTGCTCACGCCGCGGCGGTGCTCGACGGCAAGCTTTATGCTGTGGGTGGGTACAACTATGAGGAGGACGAGGAAGAGGAGGACGTACGAATCAACAGGGTAGAACGATTCGACTCGTCTACGAACGCTTGGGAGGAGGTGGCGCCGATGGCGACGGCACGGAGCGCGCCCTGGGTCGCCTTGCTGTAGAGGATGCCGTCCCTGCCGCATTTGCAAACACCTCTCGCCCACGGACTCTGGTAGGGTGGAGATAGTCCTCGCTGACCATATCCCACTTTGTTTGTGTGTGGAGTGTCGCAGAAAATTCATGCGCTTTTGTATATGGCCCAAGTGCGGTGGGCCGTCGCGCTGCCAGTCCGAGCTCCCCGACCTGCTCCGTCACCCTCTGCGCGCACCCCGCGCGGCTGCCACTGCTCGTACTGCTGCTGGAGCGCAGTCGCGATCGCCTCGATCGCCTTCTGGCCCGCGACCGGCCCGGCGAGCGGGTCGAGCCAGCGGCTGCAGAGGGGGCGCGTGTGTCCGCCGCCGCGTGCCGTCCGGGACCCGTCAACATGCCCCCCATGCCCCCCCCCATGCCGCCCCGAGCCCCCTCCCACCCCGCCCGCCCCCGCCCGCCCCTCAGCCTCACGCCACCTCTGCAAGCTTGACGTTGCGCCCCTCCCTCCAGCTCCGCTCCGCTGCGCGCGCGACGGCGCCGAGCAGCGCGTGCCTAACCACTCAGCACACAGGCTAGCACCGGCTACGTATGCAGCGCCCCTCCTCTCTTGGCCGAGCAGCGCGTGCCTCTCGACAAGCCGGTCCTCCTCCACGAGGAAGTGTCTAGGAAGTGTCTAGGAAGTGTCTAGGAAGTGTCTAGGAAGTGTCTAGGAAGTGCCTCTCGACAAGCCGGTCCTCCTCCACGAGGAAGTGTCTAGGAAGTGTCTAGGAAGTGTCTAGGAAGTGTCTAGGAAGTGCCTCTCGACAAGCCGGTCCTCCTCCACGAGGAAGTGTCTAGGAAGTGTCTAGGAAGTGTCTAGGAAGTGTCTAGGAAGTGTCTAGGAAGTGCCTCTCGACAAGCCGGTCCTCCTCCACGAGAGGGGGCTCGTTGCGCACCTGAGGCGTCGCGATCACCAGAGGCGGCTCGGGACCCCAACCTCACCAGTGCTCGGCCCAAGGGGGGGGGTGGGGGGGGGGTTGCGCGCCATGTTGAGGAACTCTGTCAGCTCGACCGTGTACGTGTGCCGGTACCGCTCCGGGAAGGACCACTCGGTGCAGGGGCGGAGGTGCCTGGTCGTGATCACTCATGCTCACTCACCCATCGGTCAGCTACCCACTCCGTGCTTGGTGGGGGGGGGGGGGGGCGAGAGGGCGAGGTGCGACGCCGAGGTGTGAAGACGCCGAGGTGTGAAGACCTCGTCGGGGATCTCGCTGGTGAGGAAGTGACTCATTAATAATTGAGACTGGACGGCACCTCGTCGGCGATCTCGCTGGTGAGGAAGTGACTCATTAATAATTGAGACTGGACGGCACCTCGTCGGCGATCTCGCTGGTGAGGGAGTGACTCATTAATAATTGAGACTGGACGGCACCTCGTCGGCGATCTCGCTGGTGAGGGAGTGACTCATTAATAATTGAGACTGGACGGCACCTCGTCGGGTATCTCGCCGGTGAGGAAGTGGATCATGTCGAAGTCGTGCGAGAGCATGTCGTGGAAGATGCCTGTCCTCAGCGGGAGGGTGGGGGTGTGGAGAGCTCTTCACAGCGGGAGGGTGGGGAGGGGGATGTCGTGGAAGACGCCTCCGCTCGTGCGCAAGTACTCTTCGGGCGGGCGCGGGTTGTCGCGCGACGTGCACTTGATCACCCTCACGCCGTGGCGGCCTGCACCATTCCTTCATTAAGTAATGCGATGCCTTTAATTAATTAAGATCACCCTCACGCCGTGCCGGCCTGCACTGACTAATGATTGATAACTAATTGATAGTTAATTGTTAGTTAATTATTAATTAATCACCCTCACGCCGGTGCCGGCCTGCACCGAGTCAACCGCTTTACTTGGCCTGACCTGGCGCGGCTCTCTCCTCCTCTCTCCCGCCCCCTCTCTCCTCCCCCTCCCCCCACCTGGCTCGGACGAGAGGGCGCCATCGGCGATCAGATCGCGCAGCGCACCTACCGAGAGAGCTCCCGGACGGCTGTTGGGCGGCTCCTGGCAGCCGCCAGCGGCACGGTGGCGCGGCGCGCGAAAGTTGCGGTCGCAGCGCCGCTGGTAGCCGACGAGGAAGGGCACCTGTTCGCAGCCTCCCTGTGTCGTTGCCTCCGGGCCCTCCTCTCTCCGCTTCGCCGCTGCAGCCGGCAGCGGCGCCCTGGCCGCCTTGGCGAGGCAGATGACCTCGTCGACCTGCGGCGGGGAGGAGAGCTCTCGGAGAGCGCTGCTCTCGCCGCACAGCCGCTGTGGCGGCGTGGCGGCGTGGCGGCGGCGCGGCGGCGGCGGCGGCGGCGGGTGTCGACGGCGGCGGCGGCGGCGGCGGCAGTCTTGCGGATTCCAGCCTTGCGGGTTCGGCTCTGCCGCACCTCGTCGGCGTGGTGCGAGATTGGCTTCTCGGTGAAGGTGGCCTTGGAGGCGGAGAGGGCGAGCTTGCACAGCCCGTAGTGCGTGTCTGTCGTCGAGGCGATGATGATTGCGTCGACGCGGCCCGCCAGCGCCACGTCAGCCATCACCTCCTCGAGGGTCGCCCTCGCGACGCAGTCGCTCGCCGCAAACTCGGTGGCGGTGCGCCGGGCGAGCTCGAGGTTGGTGTCGACCACGCACACCAGCTGCGCCACGCGCGCGCCCACGAAGCGAAGTGACTGCATGTGGAAGGCGCCGGCGCGGCCGAGGCCAACTAGGCAGATGCGCACGGGCGAGTCGAGCTGGGCGAGCGAGGCGGAGACGCCGACCGCCTTTGGCCCGTCGAGCTCATGGCAGCCAGAGCTGATGCGCTCCAGCAGGGCCTCGCGGTTCGAGAGGCGCTCGGGCTCCATGCGAGAGGCCTGCGGAGAGGAAGAAATCAAGGGTAGCCGTCTGCAACATAATAACCAGGCTCGGCTTGATGGCTTCGAGGGGAAGGAACTGTAGGACAAAAACTAAAAGAAATCCACGGGTCGCCGCGCGCGCAGGCAGGACGTCGCGCCATGGCCTCGGCAGAGCTCGCGGTCGACAACAAGTCGGACCAGACGCCGCTGGCGCGAGAGCGGCAGCACGCGCAGGACGAGCGTGAGGGCCGTCTGCGCTTCGTCGTCGTCAAGAACGACGGCCTCGACCGCTCGCTCATCTCACTGATCGACATGAAGAGCATCTATTCGAAGCAGCTGCCAAAAATGGGGAAGGAGTACATCGTACGGCTCGTCCTCGACCGCTCGCACACCTCGCTCGCCTGCGTCTTTGAGGGCGAGATCGTGGGCGGCGTCACTTACCGGAGGCACGCGACGCAGGCGTTTGCAGAGATCGCCTTCTGCGCCGTCTCGGCGACGCACCAGGTGCGCGGGTACGGCACGCGGCTGATGAACCAGCTCAAGGAGCACTGCAAGCGCGAGGGGATCCACTTTCTTCTCACGTACGCCGACAACCACGCGATTGGCTACTTCCGCAAGCAGGGCTTCCAAAAGCAGGTGCGCGGACAGCCCTGCGGTCGGAGGCGTGCAGATGAGGGCTGGAGCGGGGCCAGGCACACCTCAGTCGAACACGCGCACGCCCTCAGGTGACGATGAAGCGCGAGCGGTGGCTGGGCTACATCAAGGACTACGACGGAGGCACGTTGATGGAGTGCGCCATCGACACGCAGGTGGACTACCTCAACAACCCAGACACTTCCGAGACACTTCCGAGACACTTCCTAGACACTTCCGAGACACTTCCGAGACACTTCCGAGACACTTCCTAGACACTTCCGAGACACTTCCGAGACACTTCCGAGACACTTCCGAGACACTTCCGAGACACTTCTTAGACACTTCTTAGACACGCAGGTGGACTACCTCAACATCCGCTTCGTCGCCGAGGAGCAGCGCCGCGCGATCGCGGAGCGGATGGAGGCGGGCGGCGCGCAGCAGCAGGAGGCGGAGTACGCGGGGTACGCGCCCTGCGCGGGGGAGACTGCGGGCGGGAGGGGGACGTGTCCGCGAGACATGTCCGGGACGTGTCGCGCAGGTACGACCCGGCGGAGGGAGGGGTGCCGGCCGGGCTGCAGGGGACGTCCTGGCGGGAGAGCGCGCTGCACTGCTCCATGCAAGGCAAGCCAGTCCCGCTCGCCGACTGCCTGCAGGCGACCTTTACCCCTCACCCTCACCCTCACCCTCACCCTAACCCTCACCCTAACCCTCACCCTCACCCGAACCCTCACCCGAACCCGAACCCGAACCCGAACCCGAACCCGAACCCGAACCCGAACCCGAACCCTGACCCTCTCGCTATCCCGAACCCGACCCTCCCCCCTATCCCAAACCCTGCCCCCCTCCCCAACCCCTCGCCGACTGCCAGCAGGCCGTGCTTGCAGAGGTTGCCACACACGCAGACGCATGGCCCTTCCAGACGGCCGTCTCCACCTCGCTCGCGCCGGACTACTACGAGGCGGCAGACTAGCCGAGAGTCGCCGCGACTTGCCGGGATGAACTCGCCCCCGCTGGCGCCAGCCGCTGGTCACGCGCCCAGTGGAGGGCCATCTCGGGCCATCTCGGGCCATCTCATCTCGGGCCATCTCGGGTGATCTCGGGTGATCTCGGGTGATCGATCACGGGGTCATCTCGGGCCGCATCTCTGGCCATCTCGGGGTGATCTCGAGTCATCTCGGGTGATCGTGGGGTCATCGCGGGCCGCATCTCGGGCCGTCTCGGGCCATCTCGCTCCCTCAAGTGTCAAGGACCCGGTGGACGTGTGTCATCGAATCGAATCGAATCGAATCTCGCTCCCCCAGGTGATCAAGGACCCGGTGGACTTGGCGTCGGTGCGGGCGAGGCTCACGCCGCGGGCGGGCGCACCTCCACACTACAACTCGCTCGACCAGTTCCTAGACCCTTCCGAGACAGTTCCTAGACACTTCCTAGGCGCACCTCCACACTACACCTCGCTCGACCAGTTCCTCGCCGACCTGCTGCGCATGTGCGAAAACTGCCGCGTGTACAACGGCGACAACAACGAGTACTACGACTGCGCGGTCCGGCTGGAGGCGTTCGTCCGGAAGAAGGTCGGAGAGGTGAGCGTGAGCCGCGTGCCGGCGGACGGGACGCGGCCAGAGAGCGGTGGATGACAAAGAGCGCGCCGGCCGCCGCGCTCGCCGCTCGTGCGGTCGTGGTGGCGCGCTCTGAGACCTCTGAAAGGCTCTGTGCCTCTGTCCGTATCTGGCGTGTCTCGCCGCACATTCCGATTGGTCTATGATTGCTGCCGTGACCGCTAGAGCTAGACTGCTAGAGCCGTACGCGTACCCGTAGCTGGGCGCCCGCCCCACTGCACCCCACTGAGCATTGTCGCACAGTTATCAGTTTATTTCGAAGCCTCAGTTTCAGGTTCTCCACGCGATTCGAAAAAGACAGACATGGAATGAGAAGATCACGACTTGAGCCGCCTTCCCGATGCCCCACACACCGCGCACTCTTGAGAGGACACTGAACACACACGCGGCCTCACGGGGGCGCACGCTCTCGCTCTCTCTCCCCTCGACAATGTTACAGGGCTGCACTCTGCGTCGGCAACAGCACTCTCCGCGCACTCTCTCCCGCTCCCCCTCCGCCCTCTCTCCCCCCCTCCCCTCCCTCCTCCACCATGCGTACGAGCCACCACCGCCGAGCGCGTCGAGCGCGGGCGTCGGCGGTTTCGGCCAAAATTGCTCTGCTTCTGAGGGGCCTGGCCAGGCGCAGCGGTGGGCTAATCGCCTGCTCTCTCCGGCGCGCTACAAGCGCCGCCGGAGGAGAAGAAGGAGCTTCTCTCGCTGCTCTCCCGCCCCGAGGAAGACGGAGGGGTCTTCCGCACGTAAAAGGCGGGCGGCGGCATAGGCGAAACCGGCCCCGGCAGAGGGCTCGCAGGGCTGGCGTGCGAGTAGGGCGGCGGCGCCCCGGGAGGAGGCGAGCCGCCGAGCTCAAAGAGCGAGGAGGCGCCTCCTGCTCCGGCCGGACCCAAGCCATGGTAGTATGCTGCCGGCGCCGAGTGCGCCGCTGTGCCAAAGCCGGGCTCGAACGACGACGCCATCGCAGGCATCTCCCGCGGCACGGAGGCGCGGCCGAGGGAACCCGGGATGGCGAGCGGAGAGGAGCGCATCGCGGCTGACGCGGCGAACGAGCGGGGCGAGCCCGGCGCAACCGGGAGGCCGGAGCCGCCGCTCGCCTTTGCTAGCCGCATCTTCTCGAGCGTCGACTGCCGGATCTGAAGCACCGTCGAGCGCTGGTCCTCAGGCATGGCGGTCAGCTCATCGTCGGAGAGCGAGAGGATCTGCACAACCTTGCGCAGCTGCGAGCGAGATCGGGGAGGGCGGACGCCGTCGGACGGGCGGGATGGGTGGCGGGCGCAAGCCTGGGCCTCTACAGGGCTCGCCTGCTCGACGTCCTTGCCCTCGGCGCCGCTGCCCTTGGCGCGGATGCATGCGACTAAACCGCGGATGCACTGCCGCGTCTCCTCGTCGGCGGAGCTCGATGGACGAGCCGCCATGCGCCGCGTCGCGTGGGCAGCGTCGTCGGTGCGACGTTCCAGCCTCGGTTTACGTGGCACTTCAAGATGAGCACGATCCATAGGGTCGATTGCGCATGGTACGGGACCCCTCGGTCTCGCCCTCCCTCACTGGTTGTTCATTGGGGGGGGTCATAACAACGTCGGCGGCGATGGCGGTGTGACCAGACTGCCGCGCGTCCGCCGGCCGGAGAGGTGGGCGTGGAGCGAGGCGAGGTGGCCGGCGGCGATGTCGGCGAGCAGCGTGGCGGGCGGGCTCGCGGCGGACGCCATGTCAGCGAGTCGCCGCGTCGTCACGGCGCCCGCCAGAGAGCGCCTCGGCGGTGCGAGAGAGATTTTTACGCGCGATTATCTGCGAATTTCTTTAAAAATCTTTCGCCTGCTGTGTAATGTTGTGTGAGGGTCCTAACTCGGCTCTGAGGGCCGAGTAGGAGGGAGGGGTCTAGGTTACCTCTACCTCTGAGGGCCTGCGGCCCTCTTGCCTTCACCTGAGGCCCCCACCTCTACCACTACCTACGCCCCCGCCCTCAGAGCCGGACCTAAAACCGCCAGGAGAAATAGCAAAAACAAAAAGAAACTCCAAGCGCTCCAAAAAAAGAAGGCGTTCCACCTTACTGGTCGCTTTCGCTCCTGGTCGCTGTCGGACCGCGCTCGAGGACATGAAGAGCACTAACACAGGTACACCACGGCGGCTTGCCGAGGCGCCGATGTGAGTGTTCGCCCAGCGCCGCGACCAGTACTCGAGTAGTGCCTCGGCCTCAGCGCGCCACCGCGTGCGGCAGCACGTGCTCGCGCCACACGTCGGACAGCGCGCTCCAGTCCGGGCGCGCCTCGGCGCCGTCGGGCGGAGAGAACGCGATCTGGTGGCCGAAACTCGGCTCAAGTCCCCCACCAGCCCTTGTTGCTGCAGCTGGGTGATGTGGTGCGCGACGACGCCGTTGAACCTCGCGAATGGAGGCAGCTTGAGGCACCTATATTCCAGAGTGGTTTTCTTTTTCTGTGATTTCTTTTGTGCGGTCTGCTGCGACTCGTGCTTGGAGCAGAAGATGGACTCGCGGCGGGAGAAGAGGTCAAACTGCCAGGAGCGGCCGTCCTTGTCCGCCACGTGGATGCGGCCGTCCGCCTTGGTGATCGCGGGGAGGCCCTTGGGGTTGTGGATGAGGACGTCGTGCAGGGCGTCGAATTGGACCTGTTTGGTGGATTGGTGGAGCAGTCAAGGGCGGGAGGAAGGGTGGGGAAGAAGGGGGGGTCTGTGCCTTGGTGTGGCACCCGAACAGCTTGGTGCCCGGGGCCGCGCCGTCGAGGCCCTTCGAGTACGGCATCATGATGCGGCCCGAGGCGAAGCAGACTTCCTGAATCGCGAGCACGAGAGGGCGCGCCCAGACGTGCATGGGGACGTCGGGCGGGGGGGGCGGCGTGGGTGTGAAGCCCAAGAGCGTGTTGCTCGCCGCCGAGTGGCTCTCGTCGTGCTGCCACGCCATCGCGGGCTTGCCTCGGATGCCGGAAATGGGCTCGATGCGGATGGCCGCGCCGGAGGTCGTCTGGCAGTCCGCGCGCGGCTTGATCATGCAGATAGGGTGCTGCATCGGGAGGGGGGGAAGGGGGGATTCTGTCTTTGGTCAGTAGGGAAGAGTTGTGGGTGGGCCGCTATAGGGCCTTCGACTCGTCGTCCCGCTTGACCGTGATGTCAACATAGAAGCTCATCGCAGTGATGTTGAACGAGAATCCCTCGAAGGCCTTTTGGACCGCCTTCCGGACATCGATCTCGAGGGTCGTCCCCCGCGGCGCCTGGAAGAGGTTGCGCATGGTGCGCGTCATCTCGGCCTCGTCAACAGACTCGGCGAGGAGGGTCGACTGCGGCATAATCTCGACGCGGAAGTGGACCTTGTTCTTGTCCTTGGATTTGGTGACCTCCTTGGTCTTCTCCTTTAGCGCCATGGTGAGGTCGACCACGTTCATCGTGATCTTGGCGCCGGGGGGTATGTTGCACCGGTCCCCTGTGAGGGTCGTAGGACGGAGGGGGGGGGGGGGGGGGGCTCCCATCGGGAGAGGCAGGTGTGTGTGTGTGTGGTGTGGGGGTATGGACGCGCCTGCACGAGCGTGCCCGCGGCCGGCGACGCGAGCCAAATCGTCTCTCCGACGGCAACCTCGGACGCCTGCTTGAGCGCCTTTGCCGGGCCGGCGGGCAGCTTGTGCGTCGGGGTGAGCGTGACCGTCCCCGTCCCGGTGGCGAGCGAGAGGAAAGCCGCCTTGGCGGACGGGTCGGCCAGCGAAAAGGAGGAGACGAAGTCGAAGCCGAGGGTGCCTAGTGAAGTAAGCGACTGTGAAACAGATGAAAACGCTCTCACGCCATCCAAAGCGAGGGTGCCGTCGGCCGCCGCAACGAGGATCGATTCCCCGCGGAGAAGGAGGAGAGGGGGGCGGTAGCCCCGTCGGCGCGCTGGACCGTCGCAGAGCTCGGGAAGCACGGCGGGTCCGAGGCGGACGGCGACGGCGGCGACGGCGAGGCGGAGGGAGGCGGCGGCGACGGCGAGGCGGACGGCGGCGGCGGCGACGGCGAGGCCGACGGAGGCGGCGGCGACGGCGACGCGGACGGAGGCGGCGGCGACGGCGAGGCGGAGGGAGGCGGCGGCGACGGCGAGGCGGAGGGAGGCGGCGGCGACGGCGAGGCGGAGGGAGGCGGCGGCGACGGCGAGGCGGAAGGAGGCGGCGGCGACGGCGAGGCGGAGGGCGGCGGCGGCGACGGCGAGGCGGAGGGAGGCGGCGGCAGCGCGTACTGCACGTTTGGCGAGACGGTGGACTGGCCGACGTCGTTGCGACCCCAGCACTCCGCGAGCGAGGTGTCCTTCCGGATGCCGCAGGTGTGGAGGTAGCCCGCCGAGATCTGCGTGTACTGCACGTTTGGCGAGACGGTGGACTGGCCGTCGTCGTTCCAACCCCAGCACTCCGCGAGCGAGGTGTCCTTCCGGATGCCGCAGGTGTGGTCTGCGCCCGCCGAGATCTGCGTGTACTGCACGTTTGGCGAGACGGTGGACTGGCCGTCGGCGTTCGAGCCCCAGCACTCCGCGAGCGAGGTGTCCGTCCGGATGCCGCAAGTGTGGTAGTCGCCCGCCGAGATCTGCGTGTACTGCACGTTTGGCGAGACGGTGGACCGGCCGTATGAGTTCCAGCCCCAGCACTCCGCGAGCGAGGTGTCCTTCCGGATGCCGCAGGTGTGACCGTCGCCCGCCGAGATCTGCGTGTACTGCACGTTTGGCGAGACGGTGGACTGGCCGTCGGCGTTCGAGCCCCAGCACTCCGCGAGCGAGGTGTCCGTCCGGATGCCGCAAGTGTGGTAGGCGCCCGCCGAGATCTGCGTGTACTGCACGTTTGGCGAGACGGTGGACTGGCCGTCGGCGTTCGAGCCCCAGCACTCCGCGAGCGAGGTGTCCGTCCGGATGCCGCAAGAGTGGGAGCCGCCCGCCGAGATCTGCGTGTACTGCACGTTTGGCGAGACGGTGGACTGGCCGTGGTTGTTCCAGCCCCAGCACTCCGCGAGCGAGGTGTCCGTCCGGATGCCGCAGGTGTGATCGTAGCCCGCCGAGAACTGGCCCATCGTTTGACACAGGGAGAGGTGGGGGGGACGGAAGGCAGCGTGGCGTCTTCGAGTTCAAAAACCTCAACACAGATCCAGATGCCATCTGAACCTAAGAAAGAATTTAAACAAAACACAGGTCGCGTGGTCGGGGGGGGAGTAGGGGGTGGAGGTGGACGACGTAGCCGCGGATGCGTGGTCGAGGACTCCGTGGCCACACAATGTTCTGACCGTGGTTGATGAACACGGGCACACGAGGGGGAGCAGAAGTCCGTCCGCGCCTATCAGAACCTTAGCAGTAGCGGGGCGGCGGTGGACGCGGTGCTCTTCTTCCCGGCCGGGACGATCGCCTTTGGTCACGCGGCGGGATGGGCCAACGCCACGGAGTCGGCTTATTGCAATACGCGAACACCCACGCCTGGGCAGGGGGTGGAGAGGACCCCCTCCGCCCGCCGAGATGCCGCCAACTGGGAGTGCTCCGCCGTCACAGCCGGCTGATGAACCCTCGAGACGTCAGAGTCCTCCTCTTTGCGTCAAGGAGGGACGACGTGGCCAGGACGGTGGGCACCGAGGCGCTGCGGCGGCTTGCATTCGTGGCGGGTGGTACGGGGGGGCGAGGGTCAGGCGCACCGACCAGATGGGCCCCTACGTGGTATGGGGGCGGGGTCCGGCGGACGCTGGCGTGGACTGCGCAGACGTGTTGCGGGGCGGTGGACTTCATGGCACCATGGAGGGTGGTGCGCTGGCAGCCCGACTCCCTGTCATTCCTACCTTTGTCAGACGGGGCCGTGGGGGGCGGGGAGGAGGCGAAAGACGCGGCAGCAACGCTGCAAGTGCTACACGGGCTGGCGGGAGAGGCCCCGGAGGAGGCCGTCCCCGACGGAGCGGTTCCGGCCGCCCTCCCCCGATTCCTGCGACTGGTGGGAATGGCGGAGGCAGAGATGGCGGGGGCGCTGCTCGGGATGGAGGGAGGCGCCCTGAGGATGGTGGCTCGGGTGGCCAAGCAGCGGGCGATACAGGTGACACGCCACTGGCAAGCGGTGGGGATTCCTCTCGAGTCGCTCGGGACGGAGCGCTTCCCTGCGCTAGCCGCCTGTCATGGGTGCGGCGGCAAATTTCGCACACTGTTCCACGTGAAGCCGGAAGACGGACCGGCGGCTACGAAGGTGGCTGAGGAGGTGGTCAGCGCCATCCTGGAACGGATTTCTGAACGGGTGGAAGGGGAAGCGGAGGAGGGGATGAGGACGCGCCTGTGCCACGCCATGCAGGGGCAGGGGGTGTTTGTGTGCTTTTGTTGTGCAGCCCCTGTGGTCCGTGAGAAGAGGAGACAAAGATGCGGGGGGGCGGCGAGGGGGGGGCAGCCGTCGCAACAGGCGAGCGCACCCCGAGCCGGGGCGGCACCGGTGGA